TGAGAAAGCTTCACTCCTAAGACAGATGCAGAAAGACAGCAGGCTCATGAACTCTGGGTCAGAGGATGTGAAGTTCACTGGGCCAGTGAAGTTCATAGACCTTGTGCTCTGCTTCTAAGGCCTTGACACGGAGGGGTCTGATGGATTTGTATATCCTGTGGGTGTGAGGATAGGGCCTCTACATCTTTTTCTAGCCAATCACATACCTCAAGTAGGTACTCATTTCACCTTTGAAAGACAATTTTAGCATTTCATGTGCTGCCAAACAACCCATCTGGGGTAGATTTTGAAAACATCTGAAGTGCTTATGTAGCCACCTTTGGAACTTGGATTCCTGTTTATAATACTTCAAATGCTATTTCCGGGATGGAGGCCAATTTACACACACGTGCACATACAGCTAAATTTTTTGAACATTTATGTCCTGATAGAACTGAAAAGGAACTTATCTTTAACTCTCTAGCCCTTCAGTAAAGTAGGCTGCACGAATAGTGCCATTTTATGCAGGAGGAAACACAGACAGGGATGTGGCAGAGGATCTATGAGTTGCAAATCAGGGTCTCAGACTCAGGCAGTCAGAGAATCCAGATCCTCAGGAACCAGACTATACAGCTTCTGATGGGGGCCAAGGGGGGAGTCAGTGTGGAGAAATTAAAAAAAATAGGACTTTCACTCTATTACAAAATTTGAGAATCTGAAAGAGAAAAAGATGAATACTCAATAATTAGTAGAAAGGTAGTAGTTCTCCTGTGAACCTGTAGATTCGTACATGTCATCTGTGGGAGCAGTCCTATTCCTGCATTTAGGCCCTGTCCCCAAAGAAAGTTGGCCCAGACACTCTTCCCTAGCATTGAAATGAGGACCAAGATTCTAGCTCTAACCTGACTGTTGTCTTGAAAACAGAGGTGCTGTAGGAGTTTCATCCCATTTCATGAACTGGAGAGGTTAGGAAGCTGGTTTGAGAAAAGATCACAAGGTCCTCTAACACTGGGATCCAAGTCCCTCTGACCTCAGTCTTCACACACACATGAAATTCTTCTTTCTGGCTTAAGTTTTTGTACCTTGGAATTTTAATAAATACATACATGGAAAGTTTTTGAACTACGAAAATACATGTCTACTTTATGAAGATTCGTTGACAGTTTATGTGTTACATAGCAAGACAGAGGGGACCAGAAACAGAGAAAAGTGAGGACAATGATCCAGGAAACAGAAAATGATAAAATAGAGATCCTGGGAATGAGGAGAAAAAAAGGCTGGTGGAGGAAGGGGAACATAAATATTCTAGTTCTTCCTTCAAGATCTCAAACTACTATTTGAAATTTCTTTCTTCTTTCTCCAAGTTTCATTATATCCCCTGGGGGCTAGGTAACTTGATAAGAATAGAGTTTCTCTTTTCCTTTAAAAACAACAACAACAACAACAACAACAACAACAACAACAATATACTGCTTAGTGTGGTGATGCACATCTGTAGTCCCAGCAACTGGAGAGGCTGAGGCGGGAGGATCAAAAGTTTGAGGCTAGCCTCAGCCACTTAGTGAGACCCTCTCTCAAAATTAAAACAAAACAAACAAACAAATGAAAAAACCTAAAAAGGGCTGGGAACATACCTCAGTGGTAGAGTGTCCCTAGGTTCAACCCCCAGTACCATACACACACACACAAAATAGAACCAATACACTTCCATATACATTTCCCATGTTTATAATTATTGAAGAATTTAAACTTTTACCCAATATATTGTAAAAAGTTTCAAATGTATGAAGTTTTAAGATGTTTGTGTAAACACTGCACTGTCCTATTCCTACCTCCGGATTATCTCACTGACATTTCATTGTATTTGCTTTATCAAGCATCCAGCAATGTCCATTTCTCCATCAACTTAATTTTAGTGCAAAATTTTGACAATACTACACTCAGTATCATTAAAGAGTTCAATATTTGCTTAGTTTTTTCTTTCGTTCGTTATTTATTTATTTAGTGTATGGAACCCAGGATCTTAGGCACACTAGGCGAGCACTCTACCACTAAGCTACATCCTCACCTTATTTTTCTCTTGATGTAAAATTCAAATATAACAAAATACCCAAATCTTAAATGTACATTTTCTGGGTCTGGGTGTGTGTTTGTGTGTGTGTAGAACTGCATAACACAAATGCTTATCAAGATATAGACTGCTGTAGCTGAGTGTGGTAGCCTGTAATCCCAGCAGCTCAGGAGACTGAGACTGGAGGATTTCGAGTTCAAAGCCAGCCTCAGCAAAAGTGAGGTGCTAAGCAACTTAGTGAGATCTTGTCTCTAAATAAAATACAAAATAGGGCTGGGGATGTGTCTCAGTGGTTGAGTGCCCCTGAGTTTAATCCCCAGTACCAAAAAAAAAAAAAAAAAAAAAAGATATAGACTGCTATTATCATTCCAAAACATTCCTTCCAGTCCTTTCCCATCCATCCCTACCCCTCTCCCTGCCACCCAGGAAATCTCCACAAATTGCTTTCCACCGTAGATCAGTTTGGAGACAGGCTCTTTTTAGTTCTCTCCTTGCGGCTACTTTAACAGATCCCAATCAGGGTCCTCAGTCCAGGGATGCAATGTGGTCTATCTGCATTCTTTCCCTGTACAAGAAAGGCGTGCACTTGTGCCTTCCAGTGCTGAAGATGATTGAATACTGTACTCACCAGGCTTAAATCGCTTTGAAGAAGATAATTTGAAAAGTCCTCCATTTAGGATTTTGTAAAAAGATTCAGGGCCAGTATAGTTCTTCATAAAAGACAGCCAGAAAGCTTACTGTGTATTTTACATATTGTATCATGCCTCCTTAATTGACAAAGTCAGTGAAATAGAATTACGAAAACAAAACAAAACAAAACCAAACCCCCAAATCTGGGCCTGAACCACAAAATAAACTGAGATGGCTGTTTTTGTTTTTTAATTATTATTATTTTGAACCCCTGGGGCACTGTACCACTGAGCTATATCCCCACCCTTTTATATTCTTTGAGACAAGGTCTTACTAAGTTGCTGAGGCTAACCTGGAACTTTTGATCCTCCTGCCTGTCTCCTCTGAGTAGTTGGGATTATAGATGTACGCCGCCACACTCCATATGTCTGTTCTTTTTTATTTGTTTTTTGGGTACTGGGGATTGAAGTCAGGGGCACACAACCACTGAGCCACATCCCCAGCCCTATTTTGTATTTTATTTAGAAGTAGGGTTTCACTGAGTTGCTCAGTGCCTTGTCATTGCTGGGGCTGGCTTTGAACACACAATCCTCCTGTCTCAGCCTCCTGAGTTGCTGGATTACAGGCATATGCCACTGCACCTGGCGATACATCTGTATTTAAAGACACAAAACCACCACTTGAGCAAATTACTTTCTTCTTCAATATGTAAGTGACATTTAAAACATTTAGTTTGCATGACACATGCTGACCTGGTTATCCACCTCATGTGTAAGTGCTTGGACATATCCCTGGTTATACTGGAACTTGTGGCACAAACAAGGACTGCCTTTTTACTCCCACTCTAATATTTTTGGCGTAGGGTGTGTGCATGCATGTGTGCATGTACATGTCTGTGTATTGGGGAGATTCTTAGAAAGGTACATGTCAGTTGGATGTCCTGGCGCATGCCTGTAATCCCAGCGCTTGGGAAGCTGAGGCAAGAGGATTCCAAGTTCAAAGCCAGCTTCAGCAACTTAGCGAGACCCTGTTTCAAAATAAAAAAGGAAAGGGTTGGGGATGTGGTTAAAAGCCCCTGGGTTCAATCCCTAATATCAATAAGCAAGTAAGCAAACAAACAAACCAAAAAAGAAAGAAAGAAAAGAAAGGTATATGTCAGCATAATAAGGACATGTATCACTATAGGTCCCAGGTGCTTACCCTAATTTGTCTTGTCCCAGGGATGGCTTTATAAATATTTAGAGTCACAATGAGGCATAAGCATAACCCTGCAGCACAACTGTGTCTACAACCACTGGAGAGGGTTAGAAAGCAGACTAGTCGGGCTTCTCTGCTGCCAACAACCACTCAAAGTCAGGAGGTGACACGAAGACACAGGTGCCAATTCTCAACAGGAACCAACCCCCCTCCTGTTTCACACTGAATGGAAAATGTTCCCATCTTTACTCCCTCATTAAGGCCCCTATGCCCTCAACTGAAACCAAGAAATAAGCAAAATTAAGAACCAGAGACAACAGAGTCCACCTAAAGGCCAAGAGCTAACCAGATGTGGAGGGCAACACTAGAAAACACTAAGCTCTCGGGTCATAACCACTTGGAAATTTCATACAGATATCAGAGATCTGAAAAGTCTGCAAGGAGAGCTTGGATTCCAGGGAGGCTTCAAGGCTGGCTTTCTGGACACAGGAGGGGGCCTGATCAGTGGGAAGGACAGTGTGGACAAGCAAAGAAGCGGCAAGCCTGCTGTGCAGGTAGGGAAGGTCAGAGAAACGAAACTTTTAAGACCAGACATGTCTCAGTCTAATAAGTACTAAACAAAACTAATTAGATAAAACCCTGCCCTCATAAATCATTTCACTGTGCTAGCTCAAAGATCCCCTCGGGGAGGAAAAACAAAGCCTTTTCTGTCAGTTTTAAAGGAACCAGATCCCTTCCAGCAATACAACAATAGATTCTAAAGTCACATATCCCCGCAAAAAGCAAAAAAACAGTGGTGTTTAATCTCAGGAGTTAAAAACTCTTTTCTTTTAGTTATCCTATAAGGCCTCCTAACCCGACTTTATTTTTCTTGATAGCATTTTACCACCACCTGGAATTTTAAATATCTGTTTAGTTACACATTCCCTATCACCAGCCAACTGCACACACGTGCACTCATGCACAGGAACTCCTGCCTGCTCTTCAGGAGAGCACAGCCTTGAGATTGTCACAGCTCTTAACGTCTGTGGTAGGGCCTGCCAGGACCCAGGCAGGCTTACCAACATTTCCTGAATGAATGAAAAAGATTTCTCCATGTGTTAGTTCACACCAAATACAGCAGTGCTTGTAAATTGTGCTTTAATTTCTGCAATCAGATATGATGCAGTGAGATACAAGTATAAACTTTCATTGTGCATTCAGAAAATAAAAAGCACATTTATACAGATTTAGCCTAACAGCTTATTCCCTAAAAAAACCAAAAACAAAAAAACCCCAACTTTGACTTTCATTAAAGCTAGTTTATCTTCAGTGTAAAAACCTGGAGGTATAAACAAAGTTGAGACATTACATACAGTGAATTATTAATGTACAATTCCAAACTTGCACAGTGCAGCATTTTAAACAAAGTAAATGGTCTCATTTCAGCTTTTACTATTAAGCATGATCCACATCTAAACCTTGAATATAAATTTCACAATATATAAACCCACTGAGAATTCTGTACACAAATACAAGTTATAGAAATTGATTTCAAATATAAATACATAAATCATCATGACCTTACATGTTATAACAGCTTGCTTGTCTACTTATTTTTCTATTGTAATTTTAAAAAATTATAGAAAAATATTTCGATGCACATTCAACTGCTATGACAAGGGCCATGACCTTGTGCCTTTAAACCATACTTCGTGGAGTATAAAGCATCACACCACGCATTTTTGGAATGAAAATTACTAAGACTGAATAGGTGACTATAAATATTCATGTTATAATATGGTAACAAAAATAGTTAGCTCCATAGTGTAGCTGGGAGGCAATGGTGCAGATAAGTGAGTGGAGGTTAGTGCTGGTTTAAAAAGGCCCACAGAACAAACGAGAAGTGGTAGCTAAGGAAATAATGTATTTTAAAAATCCCTACTGCAAGCCTAACACTGACCTCATTCACAAGACTTTTTTTTGGGTACTAGGGATTGAACCTAGTGGTGCTTTCCCACTGAGCCACATCCCCAGCCCTTTTTATTTTTTATTTTGAGACAGGGTCTCACTAAGTTGCTTAGGGCCTTGTTAAATTGTTGAGTCTGGCTTTGAACTTGAATCCTCCTGCCTCAGCCTCCCAAGTTGCTGGGATTACAGGCATGCACCACCATGCTCGACTCATTCACAAGACTCTTAAGGCAACCAAGACTGCATGTGTGTTTGGCCCCCAGATGAACAGACGTCGCCCTACCCTCCACCTGTCATCTTAAGGGACCAACCTGGCTTGTGCATTAAGGTGAAATGAGCAAAATGATTGTATGTACAGAAAACGATTCAGTGCAAATTAGAAACTTCTCTTTATCAATAGTTTCAAATTTTCTTATTGCCCTTGAGCAACTGAAAGTTTTTTCTAAACATCTAACATTCAAATGGTAATTTATCCTGGAGAGCAAATATATATAAAAGGCAAACATTCAATTTAAAATATTCTAATGTAGATTTTTTCCTTCTTTTGTAGGATTTGACAGGGTTCCAGTGAGCATGAAAACACTGGTCCTTACAAAGAACGCTTTCCTCCATTAGAATATAGATCACTTAGACAGCAGACCCAAGGGGGCCAGGCATCGCTGAGTTTCTTTATGGCTTTTAAATCACTGAGGTATCATGTGATAATCATCACTTCTGACGTCATGCTTCACTGCTTTCCTATGAAAGCCACATTCAAAAGTGACCCAGCCAGCAGCCTGTGAAGGTAATATTGAAGTGGGGCAGGGGGGAGTAGATGAGGTGCTGCTGCAAAAAAATACAGTCACAGGTGCTCCAAACCCTTGGCACATGATTAGCAGAGGGTGAAACACACTGTGTAGACACTGAGACTCCAGAGGAACAGAAGTTCCTCTGCGCAAAGAGATTCTGCCAGGTCAGCTGATAGGTTGAGCAGCAAGACACTGGACTATGTGCACCAAGGTGGGCAGTGGGAAGGGACAGTGGCATGTGGTATGGAGCAGGCAAAGGAAAGACTTGGAGCTGTCAGCACAGGAAAGAGGGTGGGTAGCTGGCTAGCCACCCTCACATACAATGTGATACAGTCTATCACACATCCAGGAAGGTGGAATGGACACATCTGGGAAGGAAGGAGACCGGACTAAATGTCAGGATGAGTGACACACTGAATTGCTCAGCTTTTCTACAGGGAAGGAGATAACAGAAAGGAAAAATGCTATTGGTAAAGTCATGTCATATGACTTACTACTTTTATCTCAATCTTTCAACTCGTAAATACCACAAAAAACTGAACTTGCTCCTTACTGAAATGGGTTATAGAGAACCCATTCTCAATGGCTGGATAAATTATATTGGCACAGAAAGGATTGGAAGAAAGTATCATGTCCAAGCACATCCTATCAAAGTTCTTTGCAGGTTGCATATGATGCTTAGACCTCAGAAAATGGCCACAAACCTATGATGGGTCAAGTAGGAATTTCTTCCAATTAGTAATACTAAAGATATGATTTTAATTGCATAGTCTTTTGTAACCATGAAAAAAAAAAATAAGAACCCGATCTTTTCCTGAAGGCCCAAGTTTTCTCCAAGAGCGCCAGGCTAATGACCCTCCCAGCCTTAGCATAGTCCAGCCCAGGGATCAACTGTCCCATTCTCCCACAAGTCAATTTTCACAATCATTGTGCACACAAGTCACACATCCCCTAGATCCACAAACTCATCTTCTCGTTTGGCCAGATCTTCTTCATCTTCCAAAGCTTTCCAGCCACTGGTGGGCAAGACCGGCTTAGATGAATGTCGCTGGAGCAAAGCGAAAGGAAATAAAGAGGACAGGCGGGCAGAGTTCCTCAGCAGGCAGGGGGCCTCTGCCTGGAGGGCCTCCTGGCTGTGGTGTCTCTCATTGATTTTCTCTTGTAAGCTCTGGACTTCCTCCATCATTTCCAAGAGTTTGCTCATCGTGGCCACTCTGCCACCACCTGGGATTTGGGCTTCTGGAATCCAGCGCAAGTAGCGCTGGGCCCAGACTTTGATTTCTGGCCCCTCTACACGAGGCAACAACAATCCATGATAGTCAGTAGGCTTGCTATGCCAGCTGTCATAAAACTCTCGAAAGTTGTCTTGCAGCTCATCAGAAGAATTAATAAGTTTACTAATTCTCTTGCCCAGAAGGTTTTTAATTAAATGATCTGTCTCTTCCCTGAAAAATCCTCTTTTGGGAGATGACTTCGATTGGGTGAGTGGCAAAGAAAGTTGTCGTTGGTGCTTTGAGAGAAAATAAATAAAAATCTCTGGTTAACAAAAGAGGTAAGGTTACAGTTACTGTTATAAAAAAAAAAGGCACAGCTCTGCTTTAACAAATATCAAGAGATATCAGAATTGTCATGTGAATGCATGCTCATTAAAATGCGGTAACATATAGAAAGAAAGAGTGGGTTCTTATTTATTCTCATGATGCAAACATCAGACACACACTGTACTCTCTTATTATAAAGGTGCATATGGCAGCAATGCAGAAAGCATGCTGGGACAGCAAGTGGTGCTTTCCATCCCCCACCCCCTGGAATAGGGGTACCAAAGGACACAAAGTACTTTTAAGGAATGGGTTTAAGATAGGTTAATGATTTAGGAGAGTTTAGGGATGAAGACTAATCATTCTTTAAAGGGAAACAAAATGTTTCTTCTTTGAGGATATGGGGACTATTAACTGCTACTATATTCTAAACATCTCCAAGGAAGCAGCACTGACAACCTGAAGATTCTATCATGTGGCTGCAGCAACTTGGTAGTTTATCAGGCATTTGGCTAGAATTCAAGCCTCAAATCATAAGGATTCTTTTGAACACAGAAAACAGGCAGACGGAAGCAAAGGAATTTTGCTAAGAGGAACTGACTAAGTTGGCCAGTTGTTCTTGTCTGACATCTATATAGAGTAGAAAATATGAGAGCATTTAAGTTTTTCCTCCTTGATAATTCTCTCTACAGCCAAAGCAAGGCGTTATTTTTGGGGGGATGCTCTAAGATGTAATAAACATGGCTGAAGTGATCAGAAGGTTCCAGGAACTCCTCAGTGCCCAAGGGAGAAGGTAAAAACTGTCAGGAAAAGCTGTTTTGTTTTGTTTTGTTTCCCCTGTCCCTTTTGTTTCTAACATGTTCATTTAAATTAAGAATAAATAAAAAATTTACTTTCATCCTAGCTTTATAATCTAACATATTTTTGCCAGTGGGTCTTCCTTGTAAAAAAAAAAAATGATCATGGAGCAAAAATTTCCTTATGATAGATTATGAAATAACAATAAAACTATAAAGAAGAAAACAAAATTATCCACAATCCACAACTGACCAGATCAGAAATGACCACGATTTTTGACTCTGCATCTGGAGATAGGACAGATGAAGGCCAGGAGTCTTTCTCCATAGTCATCAAGGTGAGTGAGGCAGGAAAGGGAGTTGGGGAATGTGGAGGAAACCCGTTACTGAGCACTTACTGCCTGCTCAATTCTGTGCTCACTGTTATATGCATTGACTTACCCAATTCTCCAAGTCATTATTATTGCCCCATTTTATAAAAGTAATCTGTTCAAAGCACCAACCACTGTAGTTTTAAACAAGCTTGGCTCCAGAGTCTGCGTTCTTAACTGAACTTACTTGGTCTTGGAAGCCCTCTTCTCTCAGCCTCCTCAGTGAATGGCACATTCAAGATGTGCCTAAGGGGGAGGAGTACCACATGCCCAAAGCCTGGCTGAATACTGGAGTGAAGCTAAGACTACCTGCCTGAGTGAATCCTGCCCCTCATGAAGCAATTCACAGAGCAGTGCTTGATCCTTTACCCTTACATACAGTTACTATGGAACTTCTCTGAGGCCAAGGTCTCAAGGTCCCAAGGTTCCTGTTGCCCAGCCCCAACTCTGCTTTAGTCTAATAAAACGTCTAGCCCTTCAGCACCAATCTCTCCACCAACCTCTCTTGGAGGTGAGGGACACTTAGAAAAACTGGGTCTGAGGAGAGAAATTAAATCCATTCTTAGAAAAGAGCTGTAGGCCAGGTGCAGTGGTGCACTCCTGTAACCCCAGTAGCTCAGGAGATTGAGACAGGAGGGTTGCAAGTTCAAAGATAGTCTCAGAAAAAGCGAAGTGCTAAGCAACTCAGTGAGACTCTGTCTCTAAATAAAATACAAAATAGGGCTGGGGATGTGGCTCAGTAGTGGTACAATCCCAAGTGCCCCTTTCCCCTATAAAAAAAGATGGTGTTTCTGAGGATCCTTGCTCCAAGGGCATTCAGCAGTTCTACCATCCCAGCCCAGCTCTCACGAGAAGCATGCAGGTAACCACCAGGGGGCACAACACACTGAAGGAAAGATGATTTTTATAGCCACCTTGTTCCTGGGTTTGCAGCAATTTTGGTCAAACTAACAGAAAAGTGGTTGAATCAGAAAAGGGAAGCAATCATCTAGGGCCTGAGGACAACTAAGAGGGTCAAGTGGTAGTTCTAAACTGCACAGCAGAAGACACTTTCTCTGAGTGCTGGCTTTGGTTCATGTCTTAAGAGCAGAACCAACTGAACTGCAGGCTTCCTGGAATCTCTCATGATCAGGCAGGACTTGAAGGATGGTCACAACAACTTGGATTTATCATTACTGCTATCCATCTCCTCTATGGCTCTACTGGCAAGAGATTCCAGGCCAGACAGAGTTGGAAGTGTGTGAGGATGGCCTAAGGCCTGAGACTAAGCAACTCCATTTTAAAAACTCCAGTTTGAAACTCCAGTCTCATTAGGCACATCCAACAGATTCCTCCAGTATGGCCTCAGACAAGTTACTTCCCCTCACCCAGATAAACAGAGTGAAGCCTCTGGCAGGCTGTCCTTGCCTGATGAGAGAGAAAGGTGAGAAGATCAGGGTGGATACCACCAGACCAGATGTTTCTGACCCCAGGGTAAATTATGTAGTGGTAGCTGATAAGGATGGAAGGGGGGGGGTGTCAAAGCCCCAAAATTTAGTATAAATAATGGAGCTAAAGAATAGGGATTCAGCCAGCTGAAACAAGGATGCACTTGAGCTGGAGAGCCTGATGAGAACCTGGACTGACATCCCATCACTTGTCATCGTTTCCTGATCCTCTGCGTGATCCACACTGCTCTCAAACTCTACTGCCTCATCTGGACCCTGGTGAGAGCTGCAACTTCTCCATACAACCCTTTCCTCAACCGGTCATCCACTCCACACCTGGAAAAGCCTACCTTGGTTCTGGACCTGGTCACCGTGGTCTGAGTTAGTGTGCATCTGCTGGACGTAAAGCCTAAGGCTTGAGACTTTTGAACTTAGCATGCAGAGGGAATGTCTGTCATTAGCCTGTCATGATTAACTATGTTTGCAGTGCTAAGAATTGTTTGCAGTGTCCTATTTCAGTGCCTAGCATTAAGAATTGTCGTTTTATTGATTAAGAACCTATAGAGCGGAATTGTATTGAGTAATTTGAGTGAATAAAGCATTGAAAAGGGCAAAAGCATGTGGACATTCTTTATTTCTCCCCTCGACTACATACGTCGCAATTTTGCCCCCTTGAGACAAAGTGCCATTTAAATAATTTACCAGTGGAGGAATTTTTGAGTAAAACAAAATCAGGAATGAATAACTGAAAGGAAACTAAAGCTTTGATATTGTGGTTGGGCAAAATCTAGTGTGGCACCTGTTTTCATAAATACTGCAACACAGCAAGACCCATTGGTTTGTGTACTGTCCAGGGCCACTTTAGTACCATGACAGCAGAGGGTAGTTGCAACAGAAACCATATAGCCCTTGACAAAAAACGTAGCCAGCTCCTGGTTTACAGCTACAGCTCATTACCATGTAATGCATGACTTACACTATACAATCAATGTTCCTTTTACCTTACTAGCTACCACAGATGTGGGGTAAGAGGCATGATTCCACACAGCATGACTAAGGGAACAGCATCCTCAGTGGCCTGCAGCAAACAGCCACTTCTCATCAGGCCAAAGACTACCTGCTAAAAGCAAAGGATTCACGTAGTGGGCCCTAAGGACTTGACCACCACACATCTTGATCCTTTACCCTAACATACAGGAAAATGAAGGGGATTTAGATGTGAACATCTTACTTTAAAACGCATTCCTTTCCGTTGGCCTTTGTCCAGTTTTGACTTTTCCACATAGAGAGGGTTTTTGAGCAACATCTGGGCTTTGGGTTCAAACTGTACAGACCAATCCCACACGGTGAGCAGATTCAAAGGCTTGCTTTGTGTATCTGGGCTTTCTCTACCCTGCCAAAACAAGCACAGGTCACCATGGCTTCCAGGGAGGACTGAGGAAAGAAAACATGCATTTTCAGAAACAGGCACCAGGAAGGGGGCTCCACCCTGCTCCGAGGCTGAATGTTCAGGGCACTTCATTTTCCACAGCCCAGGCTATCAGTGCTTACTCACTAGAAGCTCTAGGTGGGGGAGGAAGGTGCGGAGCACACTTCTTTGGGAGGAACCACATATCCCTCTGGGCTGGACACTTTACCAACATCCTTGTAAGGTAGCTATTATTTTTCTAATTTTTTATTTGAGGAAACTGAGGCTCAGAAAACTGAAGTAAACTGCCTGAGATCACAAAGCTAGTGAGTCTCAAGAAACTCAGGTTTGATTCCTCCCACTTCACTATGGGATTTGGAAGCACTATAATCTCAAACAAACCCTGAGGCCAGAACGCTGCCTGGAGGCAACCGATTTGTTTAGCACAGCTTCAAGAGTGACTCAAGGGCTTTAAGAAGCAAAGTCAGGCTGGCTTTTCTGATTTGCAGTGTTCAGTATCTCTTCTCCTAGGAACTCCAGGCATGAAGATGAGGGAAGAGAAAGCACCTGGTCCGTCTGGAAAAAGAAGAGCTTTTAATTTGGCTTAACCCCTGCTCAAACACTAGCTTCAAATATTTACGATGTGACCTTGGGCTAGTTGCTTATTCTTTGTGTGTCTCAGCTTCCTCAGGGATAATAATAAGTAACCCAGAGGGTACTGTAAAGATTAAATCCTTTCCAATTGTGAGTACCTGGAAAGTACTTAGAACAATGCCTGGCACACAGTCAATGTTAAAAGAAATATTATTTTTTAGTACCAACGTTATTGCATCCTATTTGTGAGATGCAGCTTCTTTAATATACAGGTTTCTTAGAGGGACTCTTACCATGTTAGTATCTTTTTGATGAGGTGAATTGAAGAAGAAGGTGCTAAAAATAGGTATGTACAGGCTATCTGACAACACCGTCAGGTAAGTCTCTGTGAATTCAAATGCTGGGGAATGCTGGTGCACCAGCTGCCAGACACAATCTAAGAAAAGCAGGAACACAGGAACCTACATGAAAACAAGATACAGGTTACTTAGAAGGCACAGAGCTCAACATGAGCTGTAAGGAGTTCACTGTATAGCCATTTCAGCAGCTTTGAAGTAACCACTTCTGAGCCCTATATTCTCTGGGAAACATAGTATGCTCCATTCCATTCCAAAAAATAAACATGCTCAACTGAAACCACATGCTTTCAACTAATAATGGTATTTGGCAGTACCCATCTGTGTCAGACACTTCAAAGATGAAATATGGATCAGCATCACCAGATGAACATTTGCAATTAATTCTGATGACACAAAATAGCAACTTTAAACTCCAATTAAGTGAAATGTTGCCTTCCTCCCAAAGAATTCCTTGTCCTAGTCCAATAACTGTTCAATGCAAAAATCTGTACTCAGTGATTGTTATTTTAAATTTTGTCAATAAAACGTTGTGTGTTTGTGTGTGTGTGGGACTACCACTACTATTACCCACCCACACACCAACTAACAGGGTTGGTGTGAAGAGGCTGGAATGAGAAGCCTTCCTTCTCCATATCCCATGATGAGGGCTCAGAAGACAAAAGGGATGGGAGAGAAGGCAGCAAGAATGAGTTCCTAGCATTTTTTCACAAATGTTTTTCTTAAAAAATTTACAGGCTTCCTTTACTAGCCACTCAGAAGTGAGCCCTTTATTTAGTAGGGACAGTAGTTTCTAAGGTGCTTTATATTTACAAATGCTATTCTTGATTCACCAATGATTCTGCAGGCTGCATAAGATAAGCTATGTGACAGTCACTCCCTTCTGGAAGATTAGTGGTGATGAGAGGCTGGTCAAGGTCTCAAATGGAGCTGGCAAGAAAGAGGAGTTAGGAATTCAAACTATTGGTTCAAAGGCTATATCTACTTCAGTTATATCACAAATTAGACCACCTGATTCTCCTTCAAACTCTGATTTATTGATGCTGAGGTGCTAAGAACCCCTTTTCAGAAACTTTAGTTCACACTTCATTTTAAGCACAATATCACTAAACAGAATGAAAAATATATGAATCTCACTGTATAGTCAGGGAAATGGGCTCATAAATTGTGAGTGACTCTCCAAAGGCTGAGTGAAGAGTAGATTAGGTCTTGGCTCTTTCCCCACTAAATAGGGTGCCAGTCACTATCCCTTTTCTCAAGATATACAAAATCATATTTTTATTCAGATAATACTAGTTCTATCCTGCTTCATGAGTACCATCAACCTTTCATATTATTTCCCCAAAGTTCCTTCTAAGACTAAAAGATGGTGACTTCTAGTCAGCTCAGTATCACACAGAGGCATACAGACTGGGCCTGAAAGAAACTGCCTGGCCTAGCTAGTAACAGAGGCCTTGGTTTCCCCAGAAACCCACCCAGCTCTGCATGGCAGAAACCATGGCTCTCTATTCCCGCAGCATGCTGTGTCAAACTGCTCTGCACCACAGACAGACATGCTGTATATCAGGAGTAAGAAAAACCACAAGTCACAATACCAGTACATGTTAGCTCTACAGTGACTTATGAAAGACAGCGGGTCCATTTCCATTCTTCCTTCTACCCATCACCAATGAAGCAGCCAGGAGAGTCTGTATGGCTGTTGCTTAGACAAGTCAACCTTAATTTGGGGGTGAATTAAAACACTAACTTTCCTGGTACAGGTCTGAGGCCATTCACCTGGACACAAGCAGAAGAGGCTGCAGTATAGCCCACACACATCACTGCCAAGGCCCTGGCAATCAGACAGCATTAACTCAAACCTGTACTTTCCTTGGAAGAAGTTTATGTGGTAGGAAAATTTACCTTGTTAACATGTATTTCCTGTAGGAAATCTGCACAATGAATATCTACTTATCGCAAAGATTAACTTGGCAAAATTTGTAGGAGAATCTCTCACTGGGTTATTATATAGGTAAGCCGGGTGTGGTGGTGCACGCCTATAATCCCAGTGGCTTGGGAGGCTAAGGCAGCAGGATGGTGAATTCAAAGCCAGCCTCAGCAAAAGTGAGGCACTAAGCAACTCAGTGAGACCGTGTCTCTAATTAAAATATAAAATAGCACTGGGGATGTGACTCAGTGGCCAAGTGTCCCTGAGTTCAATCCCTGGCACCCCCTCCTAAAAAAAAATCAATATTACTCCTACTATAAAATGTATTACATTCTTGCTATACACAACGTAGAAGAGAAGACTCTGAACATGCTTGTCTATATCTTTTCCTTTGGGAAGGGCTTCGATATTGTTTAAAGCATTTAAAGTTACACATGATAATCTGATTCAGTCTTCCTAGTGACTGTGTGTAGCAGGTACTTTTTAAGCAGAAACTCTACATCTGAAGAATGGTATTGGTGAGAGACTGGGGAGTTCTCCCTGTGCCTGAAACAGTCTTCAGTGAGGGAACTCACCTCCTCCTTGTCACTCTGGCGGAGATGGTTGCAGCGATCCAAGAAACAGTGGCCACCCATGACCCACTCCTTTTGGATGAGGCTCTGGAAACCAAGCTTGGTTCGGCAGTGGGGGTCCATCATCACTTGCACCAGAGAGGAAAGGAGGCAGCAGAGGTCGGAGGCATTTTCCTCTAGGAGGGGCCCAGTAGCAGTGCCAAGAGGAAGGAGGGCATGGAGTGTTAAAAGCTGGAATGCTCACACCACACAGTTAAAAGCAGGGTTCCCAATACCAAAATCGGCTATTAGCACTCAAGTTCTTACTCCCTCCAGGAAAAACAGGTAATGAAAAAAAAAAAAAAAGCTTGATATTTTTAGACCAAGAGACAAAATGCTTCCAGCTTGTCTAGTACAGGTTCTAGCACACACTGGTGCTAAATATGGATTTGCTTACTGAATATGATATACCACATAACCAGAGTGGAATCATCCACATGATGACAACCTGCCAGGCATAAACTGAGTCTGAATTCCTTCCCTCCTGGTGGGGTAATCCCTCAATCACTGAGCTCACTGTCCCAAGGCTTGCTATTTCTCAGACTCACCTTAGAGCTCCTTTCCTCTACTTCTTCCTCCTCTAACTCAACTTTGCAGGAAGTTCAAACTTTCTGGACTGTACCAAAATGATCTTATTTTCTGCCTCAAGGCTCTTTTCTTTTCTGTTTGAGGAGTGGTCTACAGGAGAAATTCTGCTTGGTCCACCTCCATGTGCTCACTTGGAATTCCCTTTACAAAACTCAAATGACTGAAAAGTCTATTTATATACCTGTTTAACATTCATGATTCAGAGCAAATAAAATCATGCATCTATAGCCTTATATTTGTCTTAAAGGATTTTTTAGTACCAGGGATTGAAATCAGAGGCACTCAACCACTGAGCGACATCCCCAGCCCTATTTTGTATTTTATTTAGAGACAGGGCCTCACTGAGTTGCTCAGCACCTTGCTTTTGCTGAGGCTGGCTTTGAACTCATGATCTTCCTGTCTCAGTCTCCCAAGCTGCTGGGATTACACGCATATATCATTGCACCCGGTTCAACGTGCTTTTTAAAAATGTCCGTAAGGGGATGTGAGGGCAATATGGCTGTGACATCTGGTTGCTCTGGCTGGCTAGACTGGTGTCCTCTTCCTCCCTCACCCCTCTATGTACACTTCTCCTGAAGCTGCATGCTCCGTGGAAGAAGAAAACCTTCCTTTTTGGTCAAGGGTGTATGAGTAGCTGTACTTCCCTGCTAGAACCTCCAAACAAGCTCTCAAAAATGTCCATGAGCAGAATGGTGTGTGTGTATGATTAAAGAAACAAGGATAAATTTATTATTTTTGGGGGGTAGTACTGGGGATTGAACCAAGGGACTCACACGTGCTAAGCAAGAGATTTATCACTGAGTTACAGCATCAGCGCCAACCCCACCCCCGCGTTTGTTTTTTTTTTAATTTTGAGACAGGGTATTGCTAAGTTAGAGCTTTGCCTGACACTTGCGATCCTCTTGCCTTAGTCTGGAATTACAGATGTATATAGCACTGTGCCCGACTTAACTAAGGATGAACTTCAACTAGGAAGTTACTCCTACTCTTAGCACTTTTTCATCCTGACCCCCCAAATCATGAAGTACCACAGGTCTTGGCTTACACTGGTCTCTTCTAGGAAACAAACCTAAACTACAGGAAGACATGACTTCAATGAAAACAGATTTTTGTGCTTATCTTCTAGTGGTGTTTTAATTTAAAACAAGTTTCATTTTTCTTTAGCAGTGCTGGGGGTTGAAAGCAGGACCTTATACATGCCAGGCAAGCATGTTATCACTGAGCTACATCACCAACCCTACAGGTTTCATTTTTAAGGGAATCTTTCTTCTTGCATTTGAAAGATAATTATATCCTTCTGAGAGATGGGAAGAAGAACTAGACAATGAGACTTCAGAGGAGACAATTCAGAAGTCCATCAAGAGTGGAGGACATCTCACTTCCATTAGCCAAAGATTCAGATTTCATTTCATGGGACTCTGATTATTGCAGTTTGGCCTTGAGTCCTACATTTCTCAGACTTCTAATCTTCCTCCTTTCACCAGTTATTTGGTGCTCAAATAATGCTCTTTTTCAGGTCCTTATAAATACTAAGGTAGAAGCACAGAATCTGCACATTGTAGATGCTCAACTCCAAGTTAGTAAGCTAGTATCAGCTGTTCCAGAAGCCACCCAGAAGATACATTTTCTAGATTGCTCTTAGAAACTAAGTCCCAACAGTCAAGGAAAGCATCAGAAAAAATGATAAAAGCTTGGATTTATAAAAGCATGAGAAAAAAAATTCACATGTAGTGTAGGACTAGAAGAAACAAAATATTATAAAAACCAAGCTGGGGGCTGGGGTTGTAGCTCAGTGATATAGCACTTGTCTAGCACTGGGTTCGATCCTCAGCACAACAAAAATAAATCAATCAAATAAAGGTATTGTGTCCACCTACAACTAAAAAAACAATACATATATTTAAAAAAAAACAAAAAAACAAAAAACAAGCTGGACACAGTTGTGTAGTTCCAGCCTCTCGGGAGGCTGCAGCTAGAGGATCAATGAGCTCAGGAGTTTGAGGCCAGCCTGAACAACATACAAAGACATTGTCTCCTAAAATAAAATTTTAAAAAGGTCTTTTAGTTTGAAACAGGATCTCAATAAGTTACTCAAGCTCCTCTCAAACTTGTAATTTTCTTGCTTCAGGCTCCTGTGTTGCTAGGATTACAGGTGTGTACCACTGGGCTTGGCTACAGCAATCATCCTTGTTACACAATGGTTTATACTTGCTTTTACACATTCTGAATGTTTATGTCACTGCCTTCATGTTTGCCAAATTAAATCCACTGAGAAAAGGGAAATCGCAGCTCACCAACTTTCTATGGAAAGTGTCAAACGGGGGACTGTGTCAAATGGGGGACTGGGGTTGTGGCTCAGGGGTAGAGAGCTTGCCTCACACGTGCGAGACCCTGGGTTCGATTCTCAGCACCACATTAAAAAAATAAATAGGTGAAATAAAGATGTTGTGTCCAACCACAAACTAAAAAATGAAATTTTAAAAAAAGTGTCAAACGGATACAAAAATAATAATTAAATCATCTATGAGTCTATGTGAAAGGGATTACTAAAAGACTGTGACTTCAACCTAGTTAATAAAAAACCAAATCCAAAACCTTAAGAAATGTGAGCTCTGGTAAAGATATCAAATAATTTCTTCTTGGGTTGTGAATAGATCTGCCAAGTTCCAAGTGAAAGAATTTTATTTTAAACTCTAACTCTGAAATCTGAGGCAAAGGATTCCAAGGTTCAGGAGAAAGACACTGGGAGGATTTTTACAGTAGCTTACTCTCTCATAAGACAATTACAATCCTGTTAAGTTACATACACAAAAAATTGAATCACAAGTGAGATAAAATGGAAAATGATTTTTGTGCTTTAAATATGTTACCTAAAAGAAGAACGTTCATGTTTTGTGCTTCCATACATTCTATGATCTCTATTGCTTTTTTCAGGCAACGTCTGAATAGGAAAGAGACAAGAAATGGGCATTAGGTCTTAAGTTTGGTACCATGAACAATAAGTTTAGAGATAGCATGAATTGTTCTTCAGTTTTTCTTTTTTTTTTTAACATAATACCTTTATTTTATTTATGTATTTTTACATGGTGCTGAGGATAGAACCCAGCGACTCGAACACGCTAGGTGAGCACTCTACCGCTGAGCCACAACCCCAGCCCTCTTCAGTTTTTCCTTTCTTTTTTTTTTTTAATATATATATATATTTTAGTTTTAGATGAACACAATATCTTTATTTTATGTGGTGCTGAGGATAGAACCCAGTGCCTCACGCATGCCAGGTGAGCACGCTACCACTTGAGCCACAGTTTTATTCATGAAAATAAATAAATTAATTAATGAAAAAACTTAACATTTACACTATTCAGATACTGAGAGAGGTTTATCTGCCTATTAGAAACTGAGGCTGGGTGTATATCCAAAGGGATTAGACCAGTTTCTCAGGTATCTGTGCTCCCATGTTCACTGCTGCATTATTCACAATAATCAAGATATGTAAACAACCTAAGAGTTCACTAACAAATGAATGGATAAGTACAGTGGTGTGTGTGTGTGTGTGTGTGTGTGTGTGTGTATAAAATGGAATATTATTCAGTACTTTAAAAAAGGGAAATTCCACCATTGTCATACCATGGATGAACCTGGAGGAAATATGTTAAATGAAATAAGCCAGGTACATAAAAACCACACAGCATGACCTTGGTTGTACATGAAATGTAAAAATGCTGAACTCGAGCTGGGGTTGTGGCTCAGTGGTAGAGCGCTTGCCTCGAATGTGTGGGGCACTGGGTTCAATTCTCAACACCACATATAAATAAAAACTAAAGGTCCATCAACAACTAAAATGAATAAAATAAATAGATTAAAAAAAAAAAAGCTGAACTCTTATACAGAGTAGAATCCTCCAAAGGGATGTGAGTGGAAAAAGTGGAGAGAAGTCAAAGGAATCAGACTTTCAGTTATAAGATAAACAAACCTGGGGGACCTAAAGTACAGCATGATTGGTGATGGATGTGTTCATTTGATTATGGTAATCATCACACAATATATGCCAAACCATCACAGTGTCTTTTAAAAAAACACTGAGTATTTTGATACATACAATCTTTATCAATTAAATACTTAAATATTTAATTCAGAATAGTAATAAAGAATATTTAATTCAGAAATATTTAATAAAGAAATGGAAATTTTTTTCATAAGGGAAACTCAAGCTAACATAAAAGTGCTCCTAGGCAATTTCTAAACTATAGATTCTAACTGAAAACTTACATCTGAGTCTTCTGGTGAGTCCTAGTAAAACCCACAAACATCAATTCCTGGAGAATATGATCTATATTGCTTTATTCAAGGTGAATGTATGAGAGTGTCTGAAAAGATCCAATCTACTCAGAAAGATTTCTTTTTTTGTAGTTGTACACAATAACTTTTTTTTTTAAATTTATTTTTTATGTGGTACTGAGAATCAAACCCAGGGCCTTGCACATTCGAGGCGAGCGCTCTCTCGCTGAGCTGAGCCATAATCCCAGTCCCAGAAAGATTTATCTCTTTCTATCCGTTATTCCCTTTAGGACTGTAGCCACAGCTTGCAGCTTTGATTTGTCCCTAACTTCTAGCTAAGGAGCCATTTAATATATGAAATAGGAAAGGCAACATAATCATCCTCTGGGACTCTTAACCTAATTCCAAAACCAAAAGTGACTAAATGACATTAACCATGGTTTAAAAAAAAATTTAAGTGGGTCATATACATATGACACAAAATTCAAAAAAGTATTTAGTGAAGTCAGTATCCCTCCTATTTTCATTCCCCAGTTTCCTCCTGGAGGGCAGCACTGTAGTCTCAATTATAATTTTGCATTATCACACCCTTTATTGTAGTCTTTCTATAGAGTATATTTCTTTGTAAGCAGGTAACATGTTGGTAAGTTCTGTCAAATGTAATTTATATAATATAAAAATGTAATTTATATAATAAATATAATAAATATAAAATGTAAAATCCAGCCAAGCCCTGAATAGAACATATGGTCTAAGAATATTTAATTGTGAAATATCAAAGAGTTAAATTATTTGTCAATTAGCTCTACTACTCTGAATTAGACAACTGAAATTCATGAGCAAAACAATGGTTTGGAATACCTGATTATGTCAAGCCAGCTGCTATTTTCCAAGAGCGAAAACCATTTTATGTCTGTGTCCCAAAATTCAGTACTGTTATCTGAAAAAAGGAAAAGCAGAAAGATATTACACTTGCCACAAAACACCTGCTATTCCACTGTGCTGTTCAGATCATTGGTCCTAGACTTAACCTGCAGAATCCAGGCACGAGACTCTACTTTAAGTAAAGAACATTTCAGAACTTCAGCTGAAACAGTTTATGAAATGTAGGCCTCAAGAAGGGTGTGGTTGTCAAGAAGAGGTCTTCCTTGCTGAAATAAGAAAAGCCTCTACCACATACTCAAAGCCATGGTCTACCCTGTAATTCAACTGAGAGACTGACATGCTTTAGGCAGAAACAAGTGACATGGAGGCTGCTATTCCTAGAAGTGGAAAATGCAACCAGATGTATACTGCCATGGACATCTAAGGTGAGACTTGACTTTTCTAAGAAATTTAAATACAAGTTCATGTACCTTGCACACCACTGTAGGATTCTCCCTTACACATCTTATAAAGCAGAAAATCTTGAATTTTAATACATTTAAAATAAATTTAATACATTTAAAAGTTGCAAACTCAAATCAGTAAAGAGAAGATATTCTGGAAATCTGGGTAATTAAAATAAAACTGTAGAATCTCAGTCCTGGATCAAATAGGACCTTGCCTCCAGATCTCTACTTCTTACAATCTGTTTTATAACATGTATCACAACATGTTTTAGTTAGAGGCATATACTTCTATTTCCCCTGTAAGAGTATGAGCTTTTGTGTTACATTCGCCTTGGGTAAATGCCTAGCGAAGTTAGTATATACAATGGAAATTCAATAAATGACAGCTGAGTAAATCCTAAAATAGTTAACCATTTGTCAGGTTAAAAAGTCCAAGTTAGGAAAAGTTACCTTTAAGCAAGCACATCTCAGAGAGTAAAGACTCATTCAAGAATGGAGAGAAATGAGACTAGTTCTAATTGTTACTAGAAGACTATGAGAGTAAGGAAATTGCTAAGGGTGTACATTTCTGGTTAATTGTATTGAAATTAATTTTCATCCTAAAAAACTGTACATGCCTAATCAGGAAAGAAATATTAAAAATATTTCCCCTTTGGGAAAAAAGTTCCCTAAGGAAAAAAGATCATTCACTTTATAAATGTTTATGCATATCAGTGATTAATAGGTAATACATAGTCCAGAATTTTAAGTAGAGAAGCCAAAATGCTCACCACTGAGCAACCTGGTATGCTGGGAAAGAAGAGAGGAGAAGAATGCCTGTGTGATCACTGCCACAACAGGGGGGCCATGGAAGAAAAGCCTGAAGAGAGATGTTCTGCATGCAGCACGGCAGTGGCAGCTGGCCCCTTGGCTATTGACTCTTCCACTACATGATAGTGACCTTCGAGGTTAGGAGCATCTGTGTATCACCAAAAGGAACCCAGGGGAAAGGTACCAACTTGCAGCTGATCCATGTGGCATGTCTTTCCCCATTTGACAGAAAGTTTTGCTCAACACTCTTCTCACCTATCAGAAATAGCTGTTTAAATTTAGAGTATGCCGTCTGGATTTCCTGCAAGGATATGAAGTTGCTTGATAGATCTTCAGTTTTAACAATTTCATAGGGTGGCCTATGGATGATCTTGTAAATTCTAGGTATGAAAAAGTAACATGAAATTAGAAGAGCTACATGAATTAAAAGAGATTATATTTCCTAAGCAATTACTATGTGTCCCTATATGTTCCAAAAGGTCTGCAGGTATCCCCCTCCCTACCCTTACCTCTGAGGCAACTGCTGCAGGACTGCTCTCCCCAGTTAACAGTGGGAATGGAGAACCCAAAGTAGAACTGCCCAGCCCAAGGTTATCAAGTTTCTAAATAGATGGGGCCATGATTTGGACCAAGGCAATTTAACTCCAAAGTCCACTTTTTTTTTTAATTTATCCACTTTGGATTTTTTTTTTTTAATTTTTTTTAGTTGTTGGTAGACCTTTATTTATTTACTTATATGCGGTGCTGAGAATCGAACCCATTGCCTCACACATGCCAGGCAAGTGCGCTACCGCAGAGCCCTAGCCCTAGCCCTCCCACTTTGGATTTTCTTTTCTTTTCTTTTAAATACCTTTATTTATTTATTTATCCATTTGCTTGATTGATTATTTATTTGTTTGTTTGTTTGTTTGTTTGTTTATTTATTATGGTGGTGCTAAGGATGGAACCCAGGGCTTTACACGCGCTAGGCGAGCACTCTGCCACTGAGCCACACCTCAGCCCCTCCACTTCAGATTTTCTAATTTATTTTGAAAAATTCCAATCATGTAGAAAAGTAGAAAAAGAACCATAGTGACATATATCATGACCTAGATTTGACAGGTATTAACATTATAGATAATGAGTGAGGGTGGTGGTTCAGTGGTAGAGCACTTACCTAGCATGTATAAGGCCTGGGTTTACAAACAACAACAACAACAAAAACCAGACACAAAAACGAAACCCAAACATTATAGATACTATGCCACTTCCTCCCTAAATACTTCAGTGTACATTTCTAAAAATAGCATAGTTGACATTCTTTATTTTTTGTCATTTTTATTGCAGTGCTGGGCATTGAACCCAGGGCCCTGTGCATGCTAGGCAAATGCTCTATCATTGAGTGGCATCCCTAGCCCCCATGAAATTTTGATTAGTGATTATGTTATACTGACTAATTAGTGATTATGTTATATTGACTCCTTTAAAAGTAATTAAGAATGACCCCTATAGGTTGTATTTTTCTAACACTAAGCTACCTGTAGATACACAGAAATGGACACTACTAAGAACTAGTCCCTGCTTTCTAGAAAACAAAAACAGATGAAGAATAAGTACTAACCCATCCAAGGCACTCTTCTGGATTTGCAAAACACCATCATCCTGTTCTTTGGGCAGTGCTGACATTTTCAAAAGGGCACTTCCATTGTGGCAGGACCAACACCATATCTGCAGGGGACAGAAGACATTTGCCAGATGGAACATTCACAACCCAACAGAGAAGAGGTAAGCTTAGCATTCAAGTTCAGCCAGGGAAATTTATCTTTATGAAATAGCTGGATATATTCAATTTTATTAAGTCAGGGAGAATTTATTAAATGAAGAGAACTGATTTAATCTTAAAATGAAACTAAAAAACAGGAATAGGTAGTTACATTCAGACTTGCTTATGGTCTAACATACATCTTTTGACTTGACACTAAAGTGCTGGTGACCTAGATAATGATGACGACAACATTATTATTAGGATAGAAGCCATCACTAGAGTGCAGCTTACATGTCAGCCATTTTACATGAATTAATTCATTGAATTCTCATGGTAAGTCCTTGTGATGGGTATGATTATTATTCCCATGCACAGCAAGGAACTGAGGCTTAGGGAGACAAAGGATTGCCCCAAGACATGGAAAAAGTAGCTGCAGTATAACTAAAGGTGATGCTTTAGCTTGATGGCAAATTGAGGGGTCTTCCAACATCAGAGAAAGTTCACAGGAGAAAAACGGAGAGTTGGCTAATCAAGACAGTGAATAAAAGACTCGCACACGGAAGGCACTGCACCAGGTTGTGAGAGGACAGAAAGGTGATTAAGGGATTGCTCTACTTTTGGAGCCCATACACTCATATTTATGATAGAAGGTAGAATATGGCAGACAAGGGGATGGCAAAGAACAATAGAGGGGAGGCAAGGAATAAAGATATTCTATGAATGACCACAAATAATAGGCTAAGGGGTTCCACCTTTTTACTGGATACTATGAGAGATTTCAATTACTTATTTTGCAGGCATAAAAAGGAGATTAGAACTAATCTTGGAGCAAAGTAATCTGCCAGTAGAGCCTAGAAGGGAGATAGGAAAGAGCAGGTTGAATAAGTAGGTTCAGCTGTAGTCTCTGCCCTGCATACAGGCCTGACTAAGGGCTTAAGAGTGGCTAACATCTGGTCCTTGCTCTGCTGATGAAGTCATCAGCCCTGGATCAACGGTTAACCCAATGAAAGAAATACTTTTCTAATTGGCTGCCTGAGTAGGCACCATTTTGGCTTCTACCCACACGCATAAACCATTCACTGGTTATGCTAGCAACAGCCTGGGCCAAGAGGTAAAGACCAGCACTACAATCCAGAAAACACTTTGTACTATACTTGGAAAGTCAGAAAGAGGAACTGGTTTGGGGTTTCTGGGGAAGATAATGGGATTGGCACTGTGTGTTGCATGTCTAGTGCCATTAGGACATCCACATGGAGATACTCAGGAGGCTACTGACATGAAGCCTATGAGTATAAGACAGGAAGGCAGGACTGGAGTGCTGGACATGATACAAAAGATGACAAGTCCACCAGGAGAGCAAGGACACAGAAACACAGAACAGCTTTAGGAACTGCCAAAAAGAGCAATAACTCCCGAGAGCTAAACCATACTTTAAGACTCACATGCAGTGGAAGTATTAGAACACTATGACGAATTCAAGGGACATTTGCTGTTCTCTTAGTCCCTTTTCCAACGTCATGCTAAGCAATGTGCAGAAACCACCACACAGATCTAGGGCCTCTGTGAAAGGTGGGGATATTCTTAATGCTCAAGGAGTTATGACCCCTAATTGGTACAACTCACTCAGACATAAAGGAGTGTACTCTTAGTCATGACTGGATGATGGGATCTAAGAAATTAAAGTTTACCTCCCTTCCTGGGGCAAAACCAGTAGGCCCTTGGTGTCATCCAACCATATTTCATTTTCTAGTTGGGACATGTGTAGTGATAACCTCCAATCAGAATTACCTTATCTTATCTGAGCTACAAAGAGGTACCTATTCTTTATTTGAAAGATTAAGTAGAAAGGAGTGAAATTCCTGGTCAGAGAGAGACTTCTCAGGAATTTAGCAAAAAGTCTTCTCCTATCATTATAATATGTACAGCTTCTCTTGGGAAAGAGCCACAGAGTTCTTAGTACTAATTACTTAACAACAGGCAAGAATCAATTTATTGATCACATTTATTTTCTAAAGGAAGAATTACTTGCTACTTGTTTTCTTTTGGGGTGCATTTTAAGGTGTCTCTCTGTAGAGTCAAAGAGCTTTAGAGTAACACCTATAATCCCAGGTTAGAAAATAGTGCAGTAAGGGGACCAAGATAGTACAGTATTTCCAAAGTCAGGACTGGAATTTTAAAAAGGCAGGACATAATTAGTCAAAAACTGCAACAATGTTATAGAGAGGTGGGGCTGTCCAAAGCTCAATGTCTTCTGAGAGGGTAGTGTCCAAGTGGGGGGAGAAGTCGCCTTGTAAGAAGAAATAGCAGCTGGTGGGCATGCGTGTGTGTATGTGTGTCTCTCAGTAGTAGAGTATGTGTATGTGTGTGTGTCTAAGTAGTAGTGTGTGTGTTTCAGTAGTGTGTGTGTGTGTCTAAGTAGTAGTGTATGTAGCTCTCTCAGTAGTAGTGTGTTGTGTCTCTCTCAGTAGTAGTGTGTGTGTGTGTGTGTGTGTGTGTGTGTGTCAACAGTAGAGTGTGTTTAGCACGTGTGCAGCCCTGAATTTGATCACTAACACCCCAAACAAAAAAAAAAAAAAAAAAAAGAAAGAAAGAAAAAAAGGAGTAGAAAAAAAACAAGTATAGACTGTTTACATATACTGGCAGTATAGAAAAGAACAAAGTAGTAGCTTCACTGTTAAGAAAGGGCTTTCTTAGAAGAGACTTAAAGATGTCTTGAGAGAGAGAGAAGAACATGCTTTAGAAATATAATGGAAAAGGGAAGGCTGATGATGGAACCAGGCTCCAGACAAGGCAACTAATATTGCTGGCAGAGGTTCAGATTTGGTGCGAAGGAAGCAGGAGCACAGGGAAACAATAGGAGTTCAGAATAAGGAAGCTGTGGGAGTCTCGGGTCCCACTATAGTAGGGGAAAGGCTATAGCTGAGAGTATAAGAATTAACAATGATTTTACAAACAAAATGAAAACGTGTTTACTCAGGAAAGTATGATACAGGAACCACATCAGGGCCTGAGCAGGACAAGGACCAGCAGGGGCAAGGATGCCTACAGTTTTCATGAATCCCATTAAGCACAGTCTGCTATTTGGTTTGAATAATCTATAGAAACATTCTTTGCCTCAGAGCAAAAATTTAAAAAAGATTAAAAAACCCTCAGGGCTGGAGACTAGAGGAGGTCAAGGAGGCCAAAGTCTCTAAAATGGTAGCAAGAATTTGAATGAACTGACAAATTATGCAGGTCATGGCTTTAGAGATATATGTGAAGGTAGGAAGGAACAGACTAGATGAAAAGCCAAAACAAAAAAGCATGGAGATATGAAAATGTTCTGGAACTAGATCAATGTCGCGATCACACAACATTGTGGATATACTAGGTAATATGTATCTTTTTTTTTTAATATTTATTTTTATGTGGTGCTGAGGATCAAACCCAGGGCCCTGCATGTGAGAGGCAAGCACTCTACCGCTGAGCCACAACCCCATGTGTATCTTAACACAATTAAAAAAACAAACCCTATGAATGGTACTGTAGGCCATTCACAGTTTAGGCCCAAATCATCTCTTTACTCTTGCTATTCTCTGATGCTCCTATTGCATATAACTGCTGCTATTATTTTTGTTGATGTGATAGTCCTGGGGACTGAGGTCAGGGGCACTTTACCACTGAGCTACATCCACAGTCATTTTTATTTTTTTATTTTGAAACAGGGTCTCGCTAAATTGTGGAGGCTAGCCTGGAACTTGTAATCCTCCTGCCTCATATATGTGCCACCTCACCCAGCTTAACTGCTACTATTGATGTACGTGTTTACTTACCAAATCCTGGAGGAAATGTTATATAACATTACAGATCAGTGGCTTTCAAACTTTTTGGTCTTATTCCTTTAATACTCTTAAAAATTATTTAGAACCCAAAGACTTTGTATTTGTGTGGATTATAGCTATTTATATTTAACACACTAGAAATTAAAACTGAAAGACTTTAAAATATTAATTCATTTTAAAACAATAATAAACCAATTGCATGTTGGTATAAATAACATTACACACACACAGAGTAAGAGAAGTGGCATTTGTTGAGTGTAGTAGTTCATGCCTATGATTTTGCTACTCAAAAGGCTGAGAGGCAGAAGGACTACAAGTTACCCCGCCTGGGTAAATTAGTATAATCCTATCAAAAAAAAAAAAAAAAAGCGATAGGGGTGAGTAGTTCAATGGTAAAATGCTTGCCTAGCATGGGTGAGGCCCCAGGTTCCATCTCCAACACCAGTCCATCAAAAAACAAAACAAAACAAAGTAGCATTGTTTCATATTTTTGCAAACCTCTTCCTTTGCTTTAACAGAAGCTTAACTGTGTTATCTACTCAATAACAACCAAGAACAAGGGAACACAGTACAAATAGACAGTAGGCTTAATAGAAATGAGAAGGAAAGACAAAGAGGATGCTTATGAATCCTCATGCTACTAATGGTCATATTTTCTACCTGGTGAGACATATGCTAATGAACCAAGAAAAAACTAATATAGATCATTCTATCTGGTGAGACATATGCTAATTAACCAAGAAAAAACTAATATAGATCATCTTAAGGCAGAATTTTCAACCTGTGTTTGCCCCACAAGGGACATTTGGCAATATCTGGACATACTTTGGTTGTCAGCAATGACGTTAACTATTCTATAATGATAACCCTGAAACAAATAATTATCTGGCCTAAAATATCAGTAGTGTCTAAATTGAGAAATTATGCCTTAAACAAAACAAAGAGCAAGTGGCCCCGGATTGCAATACTGATAATTTTAAAGGAACATTTGAAAGGTTTGGGCTTTCTAGGTTAAGGTACATAATTTCATCAATTCCAAATATAAAACACATTGCTTTCTAATTTGTCTGAGGTCATTTCTGGTGATCTTCCTATTCTAGTCAAATGAAAGTCTGAAAGAGAGAGAGAGAGAGAGAAAAGTGTGCGCACTCGTGCAAGCCAGCAAGCCAGGAATGATAACCTACACACGTAATCCCAGAGACTCAAGAGGCTGAGGAGGGAGCTCAGTGGTAGAGCATCCCTGGGTTCAATACCCAGTGGAAGGCAGGCAGGTAGTTGGTAGGCAGGCAAGCTGGGGTATAGCAAGCACAAAGTCTTGGATTTCATCCTCAGCATTGCAATGGGTAGTGGGAGAGGGAAAAAGGGAAAGAGAGAAGAAGGGAGAAAGGCAGAGAGAGAGAGAGAGAAGGCGGGGAAGACTGACTGAAAGCTCTGTGTTCCCTTGGATAGATGTGTACATTCCATCTTGTATATAATTTTTCTGCTGTCTATTCATACAAACTCAACTAATGATTTTCAGAATATACAATTAAAGTAGAACTAATGATTAAAAAGTTGGTGTTCCTCACTTAGGTCTTACAAGAACATATTCTACTTCTCAACCCTTAGGCTTGGCTAGAACACGGTGTATATAAATCTACATATGTGGATCTTTTTTTTTTTTTTTGGAACATTGAATCCAAGAGTACTTAACCACTAAGCCACATCCCCAGCCCTTTTTATTTTCTATTTTGAGACAGGGTCTCATTAAGTTGCTTAGAATCTTGCTATATAGCTGAGGCTGGCTTTGAATTTGCAATTCTCCTGCCTCAGCCTCCCCAGCCCCTGGGATTACAGGAATGTGCCATTGCACCTGGCGACAATTCATCTTTGTTTCTTCCAATAGAACACTTTCTTTTCTAGGTTGCTCTGAGAGAGGCTGATCATTCCTCTAAGACTCTGATTTTCAGTAACTAACTGGGAGGTCTCAAAACTCTTTCAGATGGTCTGAGAGGCCACAACCATTTTCATAATAATCCTAACAATATAATGTCTTTTCCATGGTGTTGACATCTGCACAAATGATGCAAATGTAGTGGTAGCAACGTGTTTTGTATTTGGAATTGATGAAATTATATACCTTACTGAAATGATACAAATGTAGTGGTGGCTTAGCACCAATCAAGGAAGGGCCACACAACTGTAGTGGTTGTCACTGTGTTCTTCATCAATACCATTAGCAGGAAAGAAATGGAAAGAAATCTGATTCTTTTGAGATTGTCCTTAATGAAGGATTAACAATTATTATTTTTATTATTGTTGACCACCACATATATTTTAAATATTCTGTGTGCAAGAATGGGAAGTAAGCATTGAAGTTACAATATTTGTCCCAAGAAAAAGCTCTTTTATAACTGAGTTGAGAACTGAATTCGTACCCTCTTTTAAACAAATCATGGGTGTTCTGACTTTGGTATCTGGCAGATATTCATTTTTTAAAAATGAATAAAGTGGCCGGGTGTGATGTGCACACCTGTAATTCCAGCGGCTTGGGAGGCTGAGAAAGGAGGATTTCAAGTTTAAAAGCCAGCCTCAGTAAAAGCAAGACTGCTAAGCAACTCAGTGAGACCCTGACTCTAAATAGAATACAAAATAGGGCTGGCGATGTGGTTCAGTGGTCGGGTGCCCTTGAGTTCAATCCCAGTACCAAAAAAAAAAAAAAAAAAAGAATAAAGTGAGTTTATTACTTCATGGGAAAAAACTGATAATCTACTGTAAATGATAACAATTAGAATTTTGGAAAACTAGTACCTGCTACTTTTGCTGGGCAGATTCCCAACATTTAAAGACGCTTCTGAAGAGACCGCAGTAATAATGAATAAGATTTTTAAAAAATTTTATAATAAAATGTGTCAATAGATAGGAGTTTTTTATAACCTATGAACCCATATTTTCTAAATGGTCAGGATACACTAGTACAAAATCATACACGTTTTAAGATCCACTCAAAATGTAAGACAGACCAAAGGTTTTAATTTAACAGAGAATGGAAAGTTCATTATGTTTTCAGATAAGTTATTGCAAATAACCTTTATGAAATTTTCACTTGCCAACTTTTTGGTGTACCATCAGAGAATAATATTCTCAATTAGGCTGTTAAGTATTCTCTAAAAAGGCTATTAAATATTCCTTTCTTTTCCAAATACATAGCTTTGTGAATCTGAACTTTCTTCATGTACTTCAATCAAACCCCCAAATTACCACAACAGACTGAAAAAAAGAATCAGATATTAGAATCTAGCTGTCTTCTATTTTCAAGAATGTAAAATAATGTTATTCAAATTTACTGTTTTGAATAGTTATTTTTCATAGAAACATGTTATTTATGCTAACATGTAATGTTACTTAACTTTTTCTTTTTTTGTGGTACTGGGGATTGAACCCAGAGACTCATAAATGTCAGATAAGCACTCTGCCACTGACCTATATATCCCCAGCCCCTTTTTATTTTATTTTTGTGGTACTAGAAATTGAACCCAGGGGCACTCTACCACTGAGCTACATTCCCAACCCTTTTTATTTTATTCTGAAATGGTCTAAGTTTTCCAGGCTGGCCTCAAACTTGTGGTCCTTATGCCTCAGCTTCCTAAGTAGCTTGGATTACAGGCATGTGCTACCATGCCTTGCTGTTACTTAAATTAAAAAGAAAAATTAGTCTAAATTTTTATATGGTAAGTACCAACAGTTACAACCCATATAAACAAAAGCTCTTGGAGAAAACTTTGATACTTTCTAAGAGTATAAAGATTCTGAGACCAGAAAGTTTGGGAACTGCTGCCCAAATTGCCCAAAGGTTGCAAATTGGTGGAATGTGTTTCAACTTTAGCCCAAACACGTTTTTTGAGCTTTTGGATTAGTTGTATATATTCTGAGATCAGAAAAATGCACATGGAAATTGTATCTTTTGGCTACCCCTAAAAAATCAAGACATCTGGCAACACTCAGCTCATTTTCCCACATGGTACAGACTAGCTGGTGCTGAAGAGCTGCACCCTTGCACCAAGCAGAGGGGCCCCTGTTCACTGCAGGGGCCTTGCTCAGTACCTGCTTGGCCTCCATGGGCTTCTAAGCATGTAATGTTGCTTCGCCACCTTGCTTTCCACCCAAAATTGATCCTTTTGGTGAACCAGCCATGTACATGGCATACCATTTATTTATAAATTCGCATTCCTTACTAAATTCCCCGCAGGCTTGGCAACTCCCAACCACCAATTAGAAATGGGGATGAGTGCCAGAGTCTTACCTTCTTTGATCAGTGACCCATTAAATATGGCTCCCATCCCATTCTATTCAGTAAAAACTAAGAAATGTTGTCTCTAGGAGAAGACACCACCATGCCCATACCAAGATTAACTGTGCCAACCAAAAAGAATCTGAAATTTTACTACCCTGAGTGGTCAGCTCAGGTTCAAAATGACTTACGTGTTAAACCAGGTTTGCTTTCAATAGCAGACAAATCTGTAATCCTCTTAAAGCTTTTCAATGTCTTTTCTAAAACTCAAGTGTATTTATGAAAACTTCAGAACTCTATCTCACAGAGCCTCATGTTTAAGAGACTCTTCTAGGGAGTTCTTATGGTATTTTTGGATCACTCTTGGACTGAGGACAAACTCCTGAGTACCAAAGCCAAGAGCTTTAAGTAGGATCATTTTGCTAGGATGGGCCAATGAACAACCCATGTCTCTTCAGGATTTCAGATACACTTACTGGTATGTTGTGACCCTGAAAGCGTTGCATATCCTCTTCAAGAAGAGGGGTAGGGACAACAAAGTATGCTGGCAACCTAGAAAAAAAAGGATATCATCAGACTTTAATACTACACATGATTTACAAAATATGAAAGCTCAATTTCAATGAATATAAGAAAGCTAAACAGAGTGTTATAAAAATGACCATATCTCCCTGTTAAGAAGAATCAGCTCAGATGAATTGCCATTCTGTTTGGTATAAAGTACTGTGACCAAATTACTAGTTCTAATCCTAGCTCTGAATCCAATTCTGCATAATGTTGGGTAATTATACACCTCTCTAGGTTGATTACCTTTTCCATAAAATGACGGGACTGGAAAATATGTTATCTAAACACACATGAATTTCAAAAATGGAATAATCTTCCTTTCATAGTAACATTATAATATTATAGTAACAATATAAATACTTATGTTGCTTTTAGTTAAATATGAAAACTTGTAATGATGATGACATCAAGTGCTCTAATAACAAACATTTGAGTACTAGACACTGCTGTAATATATATGAATGTGTATGTATATATATCCATGTGTGTGTGTATATACATACACACACATTACACACATATGTACAATGGTTCTGGGAATTGAACCCAGGAGCACTTTACTACTAAGACACATCCCTAGACCTTTTTATTTTTAATTTTGAGAGAGAGTCTCACTTTGTTGCTTAGGGACTTACTAAATTGCTGACGCTAGCTGAACTTGCAATCCTTCTGCCTCAGCCACCCAACTCACTGGGATTATAGGCATGTGTCAATGTGTCCAGCTCCCAGGGCCTTGGACACACACTGGTCAAGCATGCTACCACTGAACTACTTCCCTAGAACACTCTCCGCCCCTCACTTTTTTGAGACAGGATCTAGGTGAGCTATTTAAGCTGGCCTCAAACTTGCAGTCCTTGCTGCCTTCAGCCTTCTGAGTACCTGGGACTATAGGTGTAAACCCCCACATCCAGTCCCCTGGGTGCTTTTGATGTACAGTAAGCTCTGGTAAGCACTGACTGGATGGTAACTTATAACAGGCTGCTGTTTCTCACTCTTCTCAGGACAGTCAACCTGTGGAGTTCTCAGCTCCCCACTCAGTGGCTCATGCTATAAAACTGGAAGGGGGCCTCCTCCTAAAAACTTGCATTTTTCAGATATTACTGCATTCAAATAATGAGGTTAAATATTTTATAGTGCTAGTTCACCAGTTAATTTTCTTTTATAAAAAGACTCTTACCAAAAAAAAAAAAATAAAAGTTGGAACCAAGGATATTAGTCTCCATTTCTCAAGAGAGATGAAGATGACTGCACCCAGTGAAGGATATGGAGGGTGCCCTTACCTGTCCCAGTGAACTCAGGTGGATTCCACAGAGTTTGCTGTGAGACTGCCAATGGATACAAGCAATTAATCCTCTCTCCCTTCCTGCCCCATACTGGAGATAAAACCCAGGGCCTTGTGCATGCAAGGCAAGTGCTCTACCACTGAGTTACATTTCCAGATGAAAACAGTCTTTGGTATTGGAGGATGAACTCGGGGGCACTCAGCCACTGAACCACATCCCCAGCCCTATTTTTATTTTATTTTATTTAGTGACAGGGTCTCATTGAGTTGTGTAGCACCTCACTTTAGCTGAGGCTAGCTTTGAACTTGAGATCCTCCTGCCTCAGCCTCCTGAGCAGCTGGGATTATGGGCATGTGCCACTGCACCTGGCTGAAAACAGTCATTTTAGTTATTTGGATGAGTTTAGAATACAAACAAATAGACTTTCTACAGGACAACTTCAGTCATGGGAAACTGAAGGATCCACTCAGGCTCAGCCTGGTTAGGGTGAGGGAATCCTCAGAGCAGTAATGTATCTTCTTGTTCTAGCATCAATTCATAAGTCTTCTGTTGTACATACCCCATAGGGCTGTAAAATTCATATCTCCAAAAAGAGGTGGATTTATTTTTTTTTCCCGGGCTGGGATTGTGGCTCAGTGGTGGAGTGCTCACCTAGCATGGGCGGGACCCGGGTTCGATCCTCACCACCACATAAAAAAGAAGGCATTGTGTTGTGTCCATCTACACCTAAAAATAAATATTTTTTCAAAAAGTAAGGTTTTTTGTTTTTTTTTTAGGAGAAGACTGAAAAAAAGAGAAGGAACAGACCTGTGGCATTAGAAGCCAGCTCTGACCTTGGGGAAGGTGAAATGGATACTCAAGTTTCTCATTCTTTGTGTGTGTGTGTGTGTGTGTGTGTGTGTGTGTGTGTGTATGGAGCTGAGGATCAAACTCAGGGTTTCATGTATGTGAAGCAAGCACTCTACCACTGAACCATATCCCTATCCCCTGAATGTCTCACTCTTATTCAAACTGACTGGAGTCCATTCCCCTAATAAGACTTACATTAATATATTCAGTTTTTCCTATTTATTGAGCATGTCTCAGAAGCCAGACACTGTACTTTGCACTGATAAAATGATAAGCAAAAACAGTATATCCTTGATTTCATAGACTTATAGGCTGTAGAAATAAACATTAACCAAATGATGATACATATAGAAACCAATTTGCAGTTGCAGAAAGTGCTACAAGGGGTACAGTGTAATGAAAGTTCTTGCAAGCAGCCCTGACCTAGTCTTGAAATGCTCTTTAAAAGAGTGGCACTGAGCTAAGATTTGATCAATTAAGTAGGGTTATCTACCTATGTGCAGTTAGAAGCAAAAGGTGCTTCCAGACAGGAAGGAGATGGTGAGTCCAGGCCTGTGGCAAGGCTGTCAGTATGGATGGTGGAGTGCGAAAGAACTGGAGAATTAGGTGGAAGTCAAACCATTATGGGCCATGGAGTGTTTGTTAAGAGTTCTGTTCTATACCAAAACCAGTCAGAAGCCACTAAAGCTAGAATAAGTCTGATCAAATGCATATGGAGAGGTTCATTTTACCTGCTGTATGAAGAATGAATGCTGGGGAAGGGGTTATGGCCACATAAAAATAAATAAATAAATAAATAAATAAATAAATAGTATTGGAGGACCAGAGAATATAGGAAAGGCCATGGAGGCAACTACTGTAGAGGCGTAGGAGAAACAAAGCATAGCCTTTCCTGTATTATGTTGATAGCTGGGGCAGTTCAAGTAGTATGTGTCAGCACTGAGTGCTCAGAGTCTTAAAATCCAGCTAAAGCTCAATTCTCCCCATTCATCACTAATCATAAAGTTTTCCCCTCTGACCTCTTAACCAGGTTTCATTTATTTATTCTTATTTCTTTTATGTAGTACCAGAGACTGAATCCAGAGCTTCCTGCATGCTAGCCAAGCAATCTACCACTGAACTACACTCCTAGCCCCAACCAGGTATAGTTTTGAGATGCTGACACCTATGTAAACACCCCAAATCAGTATGTATCTGAATTTAAAAATAATAATTCAGGGCATTGTGCATGTGGCACATGTCTTGGGAGTCTGAGGCAGGAGTTAGAGGTTAGCCTAGGTAACACAGCAAGACCCCATTTTAAAAAACAAACAGAAAACAGTTCTGGGAATGAGGATGACTTATATTACTACCAACCTCCCATTACACCTCTTAGGAACAGGGGTTTCTAACTTCTTTCTGAGTGAGCGCTAGCTTTCCCTTTTCAAGCTTTTCATCTGGGAAGTGGAAGCAGCAGTGTGGGGCTAACAGAGAAGTTCTGGGAGGATCCTTCATAGGCCTCACACTGTCACCACAAACTGCATTGTTGGGTGTCACCTGATAAATGCTTGAGACTGATCAAAATCTAAACTGACCTGCTAAAGAGGCTTATCAGAACCTGAATACAAAAACACTAACAAACAACAATATTTTATGAAATTGTTAGCAGGATGCTAGGGAATATGCTCCAAAATGATAAAGAGTCAGGTTTCTAAAAACAGATTATGCAGAGTCATCCTTTTAAAAAGTAGGTCAGATCACTCCCTGCCTCTGCTCAAACTCCTCCTCACTATTTTCAGTGTCAGGAAGGATAAATTCTTCTGAAAGTGCCCAACCATCCTCTCTTTTCCCTCTCCTCACCTCTACTTTTTCCTTCACTTATTCCTCTACTGTCCCTCATCCCCTCACTGCTGCTCACACAGCTCCTGCCTCACTGTTCCTTCCACCTACAACACTTCTCTGCCAGCCACTCTCAAACTCAATCTTTCATTTGCTTTAAGGCTTTACTCAAAGGTCATTTAATCCTGAGGCCTTCCTGACCAACCATCCCCACCATAACCCCCAGCACTCCCCAGCCCTTTGCCTGATCTATTTATATATATATATATAAAACTCTCAACTGAGCTACAGCCCCAGCCCAATTTAATTTTTCTAAAATATTTTTAAAATTGTGGATTGACACAATACCTTTATTTATTTATTTATTTTTATGTGGTGCTGAGGATTGAATCTAGTGCCTCACACATGCCAGATGAGTGCACTACCACTGAGCCAAAATACCAGCTTAATTTTTGTGAGTGTGCACCAAGGATGGAACATGTGCATTCTAGAAACACACTCTACCACTAAGCTGTACCTCCAGCTCCCTAGCAATTATAATATATGATATTTTACTTCTTTGTTATTGTCTTCCTCCCACTAGAAGGAATGCTCCAGGAGGACACAGGTTTTCAGGAGCTTGTTGACTACTATCTTTCTAGTAATTAGGACACTTCTTGGCATATAATAGGCATTCAAACTTTTTGTTGAATGAATAAACAAAGCATTCAATAAAAGGAAATAAAACATTATAAATTAAGAAATTCCTTTTTTACACTTAGGTTATAGCACAAAAATGGCAACAATCACAAAAAGATACAAACTCACTTTTGAGTATTTTAACAGGTTTCTTTTAAAATCTAGTGTTGAGGGCTGGGGTTGTGGCTCAGCAGTAGAATGCTTGCCTAGCACATGCAAGGTCCTGGGTTCAATCCTCAGCACTACATAAAAATAAATAAATAAATAAAGGTATTATGTCCAACTACAACTAAAAAATAAATACTTAAAAATAAAATAAAATCTAGTGTTGAACCTAGCATGCATAAGGCCCTGGGTTTGATCCCTAGCACTGCAAAAAAATAAATAAATAAAAATAAAAAATAAAGCCTAGTGTTGAGGGGTTCAGGGTACAGTTCAGCAATAGAGCAATTGCCCAGAATGTATATGACCTGAGTTCCATCCCAGCACCATGACAAAAATATAAACAAAAGTTTCCAAACACAGTGACACATGCATGCAATTCCAGCTACTCGGGAAGCTGAGGTAGGAGTATTGCAAATTTGAAGCCAGACTGGGCAACTTAGCAAGACTCTGTTTCAAAATAATTTTTTAAAAGGGTTGGGGATATAGCTTAGTGTTAAGAGGATTCAATCCCCTGGATTCAATCCCCAATATTGCAAATTAAAATTTAAAACACAAATACATAAAAACATAAATACATAAAAGCTAGTGTTGATTTGAAGAAAAGAATCCTTATACACTGGTAGTGGAAAGTAAAATGGTACAATCATCATGGAAAACAGTTTGGCAATTCCCCCCCAAATTAAACCATAGTTACCATATATTTTGGCAATTCAATTTCTAGATTATATATCACAAAGAAATAAAACCATATATTCATACATACACAAATTTTGTGAAGGCCTAATTCAAAAGAGATGAAAAGTAAAAGTAACCCAAATGTCCACTAACTAATAAAAGGATAAATAAAATGTTGTATATTCATACCATGGAACGTTATTTGGCAATAAAAAAGAGTGAAATTCTAATAATATGCTACAACATGGATGAATTTTGAAAACATTATACTAAATGTAAAAGGCCAGTCATTGAAAGACTATATATTATATGATTCCATTTATATGAAATATTCAGAACAGGGAAATCTATAATAGAGACAATAATTAGATTAGTGGTTGCCTAGGGTTGAGGAGAGGGAGATGTTCAGAGGAAATATAGAGTGATTGCTAATGGATGTGAAGATTTTGGGGGGATGATGATGAAAATGTTCTAAAATGGACTGTGATGATGGTTATACAACCCTGTCAATAAATTTAAAAATACTAAACATTTCAAATGGTTGAATTATATGGCAAGTAGCCAGCAAGGAGAGCTTACCTCTCAGAGATTCTATAGCCTTCATTGACACTCACTGCTTTGTACTTCACATTGCCTTTTGTCCGTTCCAACTCCCAGCACCAGTCCTTAAGTGTTTCAAACATTACTGTCTGGTTCGTGGGATCAGTAGCTAACAAAATAAAAATCAAAAAGACAATAAAATCTTTCTTTGAAGCACTGGTATTTTAATTATGTGGAAGTTCATCCCAAGACCCCAATTTCTATCACTAAGCCCATTTTTATCCAAGCAGAACTGACTGCTTAATACTAACCTTGCTCCATTTTTTTTAATCTAAGTTAAATTATGACTGAAGTTGTTGTCTTATATTGTAGGAAAGGAATTATTCACATTCTATTTCTTGCAAAAGTCATTTATAGCTGCTACATTTTCAGTCATTTGACTATGAGACAATTTATATAAAAGGATCATGTGAAACAATAGAAGACAGGCTTGCACAAAAGCTAAAGTAATGAAATACTTTTAGTCCTAACAATATGTTCATAAGACAGTAAACTGATTTAAATAGCATGTCAGATTCTTAAATGTAAACTCTTTTTTTAGTTCAAAGATGTAATGCCTATAAGAGGATTGTCCAGAGGACTGTCAACACTTTGTTACTGATGGCCACACACAGACCAAACAGCTATGGTAAGGGTCAGGGCCTGCTTCCAAGGGCCACATGATGGTGACAGGTACTTTTGCTCCTAATGCAGTCCTGACACTAACTGCTAGAACAAAATGCCCGGGAGTACTGCTCTTACAGCCTGGCAGTTGGGTCCTTGGTCTTCTCCTGGGCCATCACAACTTGTTGAAGGTGACATGCACCAAAACAGTCTTTGCATATCTAAAAAACCAACCAAGCCTTCTGGGAAAAACAAAGTGTTTGATAAAATAGCCTCCTTGCTCCTTTTAAGAAATCCAGATCATGGCAAAAATAATAAGAAAAACGATGATGACAATATTCAGTTCTTAGGGCTGGGGATGCAGCTCAGAGGGAGAATGCTAACTTATCATGCTCTAGGTCCTGGGTTTAATTCCCAGCACTGTGAAAACAAAAACCAAACAAAGAATGCTTATATAGGCTGCATGTCCCTTAACCGAAAATCTTCACACCTGATGTGTGACAAGTTGCAGTCAAAACCCAGGGGCACTAAAGATACTGTACTATCTTCATATAAGGTATATTTATGCATTTTATGTTTAGACTTGGGTTCTCTCCCCAAGATTATTTCATTATGTATGTGAAAATATTACAAAATCCAAAATACTCCTGATCCTAAGCATTTTGGATAAGGGATATTCAACCTGTACAGCACTATTGTCCCAGAAACTGTTCTGAGCATATTATACTTTTATTAGCTTAATCTTCACAACCTTACAGGATAGGTAATGTAAGAGGTAATTTAATTTCCTTGATGTTACAGATTTTCCTTGATATTACAGAAAGGTCAGATAACTTGCCTAAGTCATACATAGCTAGATAACGTAGAACTAGAATTCAAACCCAGGCAGCTGTAAAGGAAATATCCATAATGCATGAGTGCAAAAAAAAAAAAATCCCAGTAAGTAATAACAATAGTAGGAGTAAGAAAACATTCTTAGCAATACAGAAAAATCTTTCCCTAAAATGCCCTGTCAGAGACGTTTAGGACCTTTCATTCAAAACACATTTGTGAATTATGAAGCCAGGGAATAATGAAATATATTCAGTTGGTAAAGCTCCCACCTGTACAAACCCCTACTCAATTAAGAGTAAGCTAATTAGCCAAGTAGCATCTGTCAAATTATAACCTTTACTTAAAAAAAAAAAAATGGAGGCTAGAAGGAAGAGAGGAGAAAGATGGAATTAAAATAAAATAAAGATGCCTCAGATCCTGAGTCTCAGGCACAAAAGCCACCAGAAGGTAATGAAACAGCCATGGTCAATCAAGATAAGGGTTCTGGCATGCTGATCAACATGTTGGCTGGCCTGGAAATCATCCTATGCTAAGTCCAGACCTAGAGTCAGAATATAAAAGGCTGAATTTAAAAATCTGAGCCAAATAAATGCTCATATGAATTATATTAATAAACAAAAAAGTCATTTTTTAAATATTTATTTTCTAGTTGTAGTTGGACACGATACCTCTTTTTTATTTATTCATTTTTATGTGGTGCTGAGGATCGAACCCAGGGCCTCGTATGTGCTAGGCGAGCACTCTGCCACTGAGCTGCAACCACAGCTGCTCTATTACCTCTTTATGCCTGCACCCTATGTGCCACGCTATTCACACTTTGTGATCTTCACAAAACTTCAAGGGAAGCATTAACATTGCTGTTTTTAAAATGAGAAAATGGAGGTCCTGAGGGATCACTGTCATTTCCAAGATCACAAAGCCAGAAAGTAGCTGGGCAAGGATTTGAACTCAGATGGGACAGACACCAAAACCTATACCCGTATCATTTCATCTAAATTATCACAGTTCCCAAAATGTAACATGCTCTCTGAGACAGCTATGCCTCTGCACTCCTCTAAACCTACCAGATGCTTCTACCATCCTCCACTACTTATTCAGGAATAGCCTTCTCTGATTTTTTGCCCCCCTCAGAGAGGGTGGGTATGTCCATCAGAGGACACATCTCTCAGCTTCTACTCCTATTTGTGCACTCCTTGAGGCAGGGATTAAGTCCTGCTCTCCTCCACGTCTGTATGGGATGTGTCCCACAGCAAGCATTCAATAAATGTTTACTAAATGAGTGGATAGTAACTCTGCAGTCCAGAAAACTTTATATGTTGGTGGATTTTGTTTGTTTTTGTTTTGTTTGACACTGGGGCCTCACACATACTGGGCAAGTGGTCTACCCCGAGACACATGCCCAGCCCTATACATATGCTTTTAAACAAACCTGCCACTTCCTTGATATAGGATTCAGGATCAGAAAACATCAACTTCATGGTAAGAGTAATGGGCACAGCAAGTGAATAGACTAAGGGAAAATAATTGGAGAATGAAGAAGACAGACATCTACAAAGACATATGCTAGGCATGGCTAATGGTTAATTCAGATGGCCAAAGTTTGTTACTAAATGCAAACTAAGGTCTGGGGATGTGGCTCAAGCAATAACGTGCTCACTTGGCATGCGTGGGGCGCTGGGTTCGATCTTCAGCACCACATAAAAATAAAATAAAGATGTTGAGTCCACTGAAAACTAAAAAATAAATATTAAAAAATTCTCTCTCTCTTTAAAAAAATAAAAATAAAAAAATAAATGCAAACTAAATGGAAAACATTTGGTATTTTAAGTTTTCTCTTAACAAAACAGCTTTCTGAACAGGTTTCCTTATGTACAGATGTCTTATTTTCCTCAAAATATTTGCTATAAAACAAGCTCTGGTTGTTTAAAAACTTTCAGGAATGCAGGACATTCTCTAGAATCTTATGAAATGAAATCAAGTATATTTAAAAGAACCCAGAGATAAACAGGGTTATTTTCAAATAAAACAGAATCCAGGGAAAAATAGGGTTATTTTAAACTTGTTCCAGTTTTTTTTTATATAGTTTCACACTCCTTGTATTATATTTTTATTTTACTTTTCATAAAAAGCAACCAAATAGGGGATGGGGTTGTGGCTCAGAGGAAAGAGCACTCACCTAGTACGTGTGAGGCACTGGGTTTGATCCTCAGCACCACATAAAAATAAAATAAAGGTACTGTTTCCAACTACAACTAAAAAAAAAAAATTTTTTTTTTTTTAATAAAGCAACTAAACAGCAATCCAATTCAAAAAGCAAGTAAACAAATCTAAAATGTAAGTTAAACAAAGATCACTGGAAAAGGCAGATGAGTTAACGCATGCCTATAATTCCAGCAACTTGAAAAACTAAGGCAGGGGGTTGCAAGTTAAAGGCCAACCTCAGTGACTAGCAATGCCCTATAAGTAACTTAACAAGACCCTGTCTCAAAATAAAAAATAAAAAGGGCTGGGATATGGCTCAGTGGTTAAATGCCCCTGGGTTTCATCTCTAGTACAAAAAAAAGAAAAAAGAAAAAAAAAATCACAGGGAAAAAATATAAACCTTTTGAATGAATCACCCAAGCAATAGATGACCAACTGCTAGAGAAAAGAAAAGCAAAAAACAAAAAACCCTCTCATGCTTACAGATTTTTTAAAAAAGTAATTAAACCCAGAAGATGCTTACCTGTATTGTTTTGTGCAGCAGTTGCATAGGAAAATAGAAATAATCTCTTAAGAAGTATAGAGGTCTGGGTATGATGAATTATGCCACAGACAATCTAGAAAGAATGGACCAATGGGTATAGTTATGATTTTGACAGGTAAACACTAAGAAAGGCAGGAGCCAAGTTGTCTAGGTTCTCAGTCATGCTAATGGAGCTCTAGGGTCAACCCAGTAATCCTTGTTAAAGTATGAATCTATAATTTAGTTGTTGGAATAATGCCAGGCCAACAGAATACTATTTTGTCAGACTTATTGAGCTCTGAATTTGTAGGGACAAGTTTTTATAATATAGTCAAATTTCTCAAAAACAAAGTGCTAAAAATCTTAAGTGCCCTATTAAAGTCAGGTATTCCAAATATCTGACATGTTGAAGATTTACAGGTGATATCAGATAATAGCCAAGACACTTAGCTGTTCTTTCTGACTCACCTGTGGTCTTTAGAATCTTCTAGAAGATGAAGAAGAACTCAGTCTACTGTGCATTCTGTTTGTCTACTGTACTAAACAAAATTATGTTTTGATAGATGACTAAAATCAATGTTCTAAGTGAGGAGTCCAGTTTCTCAGTGCATTCTCCATATCCATACCACTCTTTCTCCCCTCAGAATATGTACACAAGTCATGTGTGTCATTCTACCTGAAATACCACACTACCATATGAAAGACAATCAAGCAGTGACCTGGAAGTAAGTGTACATGACTCATTACCGAAAAGACACACTAGATTCTTGCTAAATCTCCCCTGATGTATGATACTGGCAAATGTGAGATCTTTATAATCTCAATAAGACAAATCTTGGAAGTTATAATGAACTCCAAATTGCTACTGCCATTTTTTCAGTTCACTCAGTTATGGATCTCAATTTGCCATGACAACCAGGGAATCATGTTCACAGTCTCCAAAGGCACACCCGGTGACTCGGCTTTGTTCCTCTAACCTTAGCTGTTCTTAGCTGTACCTCCTCCTTTCAAGCACAACCACTACCTCCAAAAGTGACTCATTTATTCACAGGAATAGGAAGACAGTGCAACTGTCTTTAGAATAGGTTGTCAAACATAGGGAGGATGGCAATGAGAGATAACTTAAACCTATCCCATCCTTCTCTTTCTCAACTACTTCCTGACCTGGCTTATCACCTCCCATCTTTTAGTGGCTCTAGAAATCAAAACATTATGAATTGAAGGAGTAAAGGTAGCATGTGCTAAGATGATATGCAGGCAGGCTTTATCCAATTACCTCTCACATTCTGAAGAAAGAATATGGGATCCACAGGATGGGGTGGTGCACACCTGTAATCCCAGTGGCTCTCAAGGCTGAGGTAGGAGGATCACAAGTTCAAAGTCAGCCTCAGCAACTTAGTGAGGCCCTAAGCAACTCAGTGAGACCCTGTCTCAAAATAAAAAGGGTCGGGAATATTGCTCAATGGTTAAGCGCCCCTGGGTTCAATTCCCAGGATAAAAAAAAAAAAAAAAAAAAAAACACTGGATTCAATTTCACAGAATAAAAGGCTCCCCTCTACCTTCAGTCAATGTAAGCAAAACCTAGAGTCAGTGGGGAAAACCTGAAGGGAAACAAAACCTAAAAACAAATGGGACTAGTTACCCTTTTGACTTCCTCTTCCTTTGTGTATCTCAGACAAAAGTGAAACACTCGGAGGTCTTTGCAGTGGATGATAAGTTTCTCAGGGTATTTCTTCAGTTGTCCAGAGAGAATTTTTTTTTTCTCATCAAACACTATAGATCAACGATGAAATTGGGAAGAAAAATTATGTTATACAGCAATAAATTAATGTGAAAACAAGGCAGACTGCTAACTTCTTAGAATAGGCATTCAGACTGTCCCAGCAGGGGCCCTGACTCTGAGAGCACACAGGGTTATTCACTGCCCTGGAGCAAGCATAAGACCCAAATGGACTGGCCACTATTAGCAGAATAGATTTCACTGGCATGAAGAAAACACAGCTCTGAAAGCTGAGATCATAAAGGATGGAAGAAAGAGCACTAGGGACATGCATTTCTGCCAGTCAATCCCTAGGTTTGTGCTAAGGCCCCTCCTGACACCTTCTTTCCTGTCCCAGAGCTACCCAGTTAGCACCTATTGGTACTGAGAACATCATAAATAGCTATTGAATAACTTCTGGAAGTGCCCTGAACACAAAAATGGAGAAGAGAAACAGAGAATGAATTGGCAGGAGAGGCCTATTTAACCAGCAGAAAAGATATTCTGATGCAATAAAACAGACCTTCACAAATCAGCCTTAAACATGAATATAGAAGGATCAGTACTCCTCTAGCTAAGTAACTCCAAACAAGCTACTTCACATTTCAATTTATCATCCATAAAACTGACTTAAGTAAGGTAATTTATATGAATATATTTTTGTGAACTATAAAGGGCTATAATAATATTATCATCATTACTAACTACATATTCAAAAGCTGGCAATAATCCAAAGGAAAAGAGATCCTTACCTCCATAAATCTGATCAACACAGTGGAGTGTAATGTCATTTTCTCCCATAACCTTATTCTTAAACTGAGTTTCCTAAAAGATTCAAAAGGAAATAAATGTGACTCCCTTCTATGCACTGTTAAGACATTTATAAGCAAAGTAAATCACCATTCTCCACTTGCACATTGAAATAAATGAGGGAATACATCTGTATATTCCTAAGAAAGGGACAAGTGAGTATGGGAGAAGAGTTTATAAGCACTGATTCTTTCAAACTTGGGCAGACCATGCAATTTCTGGGCTATTTCCAGGCCCACCACTCCACACAGTCACTTTGAGAAGTATGGGCAAGTGACGTGCAGGTTAACGTTCCTCCACATAAATGCTGAGATGACTGACAAGCTACCTGAGATCTTTGGGAAGAAAACACTAGGAGATTAAAGTTTATGGTGAATGCTGTCTTTATAAAGGAAAAGGAATTAAGTCACTACAGTGGACAGCAGCACAAGAGACCAGACTTGGAAGCAGCAACCATGCTGCTATTTAAGAAGCAAGGGAGGAGCCAGGCAGGCTGGCACAAGCCTACAACTACAGCTATTGGGAAGGTAGGCGGGAGAATGGCAAGATTGAAGCCAGTCTCAGCAACTTAGGAAGAACCTGTCTCAAAACAAAAAGTAAAAAGGGCTAGGGGTGTAGCTTAGTACTAAAGCAACCCTGGGTTCAATCCCTAATATTGCGAAAATAAATAAATAAATAAAAGCAAAACCAAAAAGCCAAGGGTGGTCCAGGATGGCCTGCATATTGTGGGCATAGGGCGGGGGCGGGCCTGACTGGGCTTCCATTACCACACAGTGCTCTTCCAGTGTTGCAGACAGTCTTCTCCTTCCCCAGCAGCTCAGTAATAAGTAGGAACAAGTCTCACAAGAATGTTGCCACTAGATTCAGATTAGGCATAAAGTAGACCCAAATTCAAATGCTACACTTGCAATCCATTTCAGTATAGAACTTAGTTTCTAGATTTGAGGAAGAGTTTAGAATAGAGAAAACATGGGGAAGTAGTACATTTGGGGACATGTTATTTCAATGATTGGTTGATTTTTTTTTTTTTAATATATTGGAGATTGAACCCAGGGGCACTTAACCACTGAGCCACACTCCAATCCCCCCTTTTTTACTGAAGTTGGATCAGTATTGGTGACCCATAAGTCTCTAAGACTCTAGCCATTCTTTTTTTTTTTTTAGTTGCCAGTGGATTTTACACTTTATTTGTTTATTCATATGTGGTGTTGAGGATCGAACCCAGGGCCTCACACATGCTAGGCAAGCACTCTACCACTGAGCCATAATTCCAGTCCATGTTTTCTTTTTTTTCTTATTATATTTTTAGTTGTAGATGGACCTTTTATTTTATTTATTTATTTTTACATAGTGTTGAGGCTTGAACCCAGTACCTCACACATGCGATGCAAACACTCCATCACTGAGTCACAGCCCCAAACATTCTTCCCCCAACTCTCACCTTTTTAAAAATGTTATCTTGTAGTTGTAGATAGACGGACAGAATGCCTTTATTTTATTTGTTTACTTTTATGTGGTGCTAAGGATGGAACCCAGTTCCTCACACATGCTAGGCAAATGCTCTGCCACTGAGCTATAGCTCCAGTCCCTCTAGCCCTCTTTGTTTTTATTTTGAGATACGGTCTAAGTTGTTTAGGGCCTTGCTAAGTTGCTGAGGCTGACTTTGAACTGGTAATCCTCCCGTCTCAGCCTTCTGAGTTGCTGGGATTAGAGGGGTGCACCACAAGGCCCAGCTTCAATGAGTGCTAAAATACAGAAGAAAATTAAAAAACATTGATGGTGTCAACTTTTGAGGTTAAAAGCAAGCCAGCATGACATGAGGCATAGGTGGGAAATTTCTGAATGGTCCTACAGTTGAAAGAAATTCCTGAAGGATAGAAAGCAGATAAGTGATGAGACTTCTCTCTTTTGTTTTTGCTATGTGTTAGAGTTGGGGTAGAAGAATTGAGAAGCTGAGGGAAGAAACAATGGAGCCATAACTCCATTCCCTCCAAACACAGCTCATACATACACCATTATCCAATGCATATTCGTCATTGCCTAAGAAGGCAATCTTGAAGTCTGTGCATACAAGTCTCCCATAAACTCCACGCTGACAGGAATCTTCCTGCACATACTTCAGGACAGTGTTGGCTTCACAAAGCAGCTCTTCACCTGGTGGAAACCAAAACAAGTCCTTCTTAGGGTCCTCAGTTAACAAAGTATGCAAACATTAAGAATTTTCTGCACTCTATTTAATGAGGACAAACATAGTACAATGCAGCACTTCAAAATGAGCCACTTTTCGAGAAGGTCAAGAAGTGCAAATTTTAGGAAAGAAGATGAAGCAGAGTATGGAAAACAAAATGGCTCAGATAGAGGCTTGGGACTCGGCTCAGTGGTAGCATGTGTGAGGCCCTGGGTTTGATCCCTAGCACTGGAGGAAAAAAGAAAGAAAAAAGACTCAGAGGTGTCTCACTACAAATAATGGAAGTTTCCGAATAGGTGGTACTGATTTCAGTTTGCACTTTCAAGCATATATTTTATTTTATTTTAAAAAGAGAGAGAGAGAGAGAGAGAGAGAATTTTTTAATATTTATTTTTTAGTTTTCGGTGGACACAACATCTTTGTTTGTATGTGGTGCTGAGGATCAGAACTCAGACCGCACGCACGCCAGGCGAGCGCGCTACCGCTTGAGCCACATCCCCAGCCCCTCAAGCATATATTTTAGTGTTTTTATTACTTTGACCCCAGCAGAGGTTCAACAACTGCAATACCCTAAGTGAGCAAAGACTGGAGCAGCTCGCTTGCATGCCTGGATGCAGGACCCACTCCCTTTTCCTGTGACAGCTCCAGGATTTCCTCAGACACAAGAGGCACTGCAGCCTTCCACAGCATGACCACCTTGTTCTGGCTGCACACTGGGAGGATGAGAGGAAAAAAAGAGGTCAGAGGCAGTGTGTGTGTGTGTGTGTGTGTGTGTGTGTGTGTGTGTGTGGGGGGGGGGGGGGGGTGGGGGGGGGGGGGGGTTAGTTTCCTCTCTTTCTTAGTTGAGAACATTTCCTCTCCAGGTGTCACTTCTCCTGCTCTATCTGCAGGCACCCAGCCGACATGAGAAGCTTTACTTCCTAGAGACAGAAATTCTCTTTATAGTTAAAAAGTTAGAACTGGGGTACAGGTAAGCATTCTCTGCTCCATGGAAGCAGAGATACTCATAAGGGCTGAGATGTCTTGGTGAGGGTAGGAAAGAGAAGAAAAAGGGGAAAATGAAAAAACTAAATGTAAATACTCTGCAACAACAACAACAAAAGGAGTTTTCTTCTCATTCAACTATCTTCCCCCAGAATCTCCCTCTGGATTTTTCCATCTTTAAATTTATTTTTTGGGATGAAAATACATTTTGTCTAGCTTACAATAAGAAAACAAAGAAGAGGGCTGGGGTTGTGACTCAGTGGTAGAGTGCTCGCCTAGCACATGCGAGACCCTGGGTTCCATCCTCAGCACCACATAAAAATAAATAAAATAGAGGTATTGTGTTCCACTACAACTAAAGAATAAATATTAAAAAAAAAGAAAACAAAGAAGAATTTCAGGCAGTCAAACAATCCAAGGGGCACATATTACAGCATTTTCTTTTTTTATCTTTCAAGGGGTTAATTGCCCCTGGCTGAAACACTAAGGAAATATTGGAAGATGGCTCAGTCACTAGGTCAGCCTCTTTAAACAACAGAGTTTAAAGAAAACAATGAAGTCAGGGCCTCATTAGGGTTTAAAATAGTCCCCCCCCAAAATGTCACAGCTTAGTTCAAGGTGGAAGACACGTGGGCAAAGTTTCCTGTGCTTCAACTCCTAATGTGCAACAGCTTTTATCAGCGAGGCTCTCCTCAAGACCAGGATAGCCCATTACCAGAGTTATGTATGGAGCTTAGAAATCAGCAATGTAGTCCTATTACAACCTTCCTGGTGAGACTCTCCACAGAAATGGCAAGCTGCACCATGGTTACAAATTGTTTGTACCAGACAAACTCTTGAATCACGAGAGTTGGGAGTTGAAAACGATCTTAGTCTACTTTAGAAAACTGAGACTCAGAGAAGTTAACTGTAAACTCACAGCTGTGCACCTAGAAGAGACCGTCTAGTAAGCCAGGAGAAGGGAGAATATGACACAAAATTTAAAACAAAAGTTAATTTCAGAATCTATAAGTCCAAGAAAAGAAAAAAACAACAGGAGATATGAATCAAGGTTTAAGTCAACATTGTAGGGAAAAAAAGCCTTTGAAATTTAAAAACATTAAAAAAAGGTGGAAATGATCAAAATGTTATATGCAAGTACGAATATGCTGTATTGAAGCCCACTATTTTGTAGAATTAGGATGTACTATTAAAAAAAGAAAAAAAGTTAAAGGGTTCTAATATGTTTTACCAAATAACATGGATCAGTCAGAAACTTGTACATATTCACATTCCCTGGACAAACTGGAACAAAGTTTAAAAATACCAGAATGGGGTCTCTATTGTTTTGGGAAAATGCACATAAAAATTTATTTAAAAAGTTATTTTGAATTGGGAAAAAATGGAAAAAAGAATACATAGCTGACAGGAATTTCCATAAATGGAGAGGATATTTCACCAAATAGTTTCTGTTCCTGAACTCAAATGTGATAAAACCCAACTTAAGTTACTGCCACTTTTTCCAGACTCAAAAAAAATTCAAGCAATCCATTCAAATGAATGACTCAGAGCAAAGCCCTGGTGGCCCCAGGATTGGTAAACCCCAGTATCCCTAGGACCCACTCTCAGATACACCAGCACAGATGGCAGGTGAGACCATCTACCAACACCTGCCCTGAGAGGCATGGGTAGCTGCACTGTCCAAGGGCAACTACAGACTTGGGCAGCAAGGACTGGGATTTTCCTGACTAGAAACCACAAATACTGGATGGGACCAAGTAAGACAACCTCATTTGCTTGTCAAAGAGGCAAGAATTTCCCAGGTTTATTTTCATCAGCTGGGGGTAAAAGGAAACAAAGATTTTTTTTTTTCCAGATAGTGTAATACTCAGAGTCAGGTGTACAGTTATTGAACTAAAGACCTTGATATCTATGTCTAACTCATTACTGTTATATGCCAAAAGATAAAAAACAAAGAAGTTTATATACAGAAAAACTAGGGATGATGTAATTTATCATTGGTTTTGAGTTGCACTGGAAGTATGAGGCTAACATTACTGTTACCTGGCAACAAGTGAAGAGTTACTTCCTTCTCTGTTACTTCCTTTTCGTTTGTGTGAATTTCCTAAAAAAAAAAAAAAAAAAGAAGGAGAAGAAGAAGAAGAAGAGCAAAGGATAATATTTTTCTTTGTTTAAAGGTTCATAGTAATATAAAGACATGCTTATAGAATACACACTAAACCACAGGAGCTTTATTTGACAAGCTAACTTGTTAACTAAAGGAAGACAGAAAATTCCAAAAAGTTAGTGATAATCAAGATATTAAACTAATTATTTAGGATTGATAACTATTAGTTGTCCCAAGCACAAATGCAGGGGTAGGCATCCTTTATGTAAAGGAACAAGTTGAAATAACACATAGCAAAGTAGAGTACACAGAATCAGAAAGAAAAGACACACCCCAGCAATACTGCTTTCTATCCAATGAGAATCAAGGATTGAAAGCAAAAGATCATTAGTTCTTGAGAGAAAACTGACATATATAAAAGGCTTAAAGGCAAAAATAGGAAAATATGACTGTACCTAGTTGGTCCAGATCCACTTACTTTATAGCATACTAAGGCTCAGTAGAGAAAGCTGGAATGTTCACTGCCCACTATTAGTTACCTAAATCCACAAGACAGTGCCAAGGAGTGCAACCACCTAATGGGTAATCAAGACCTTGTTCTGTGTCTGTTTCTCAATAAATGTATCTTCAAGTTCCTCTATTTCAGGCTCAGTATTTATTTGTTATGCAAAGATAATTAGCAAACTTTAATGAATGATGCTTTCAAAATAATGATCATGAATGGCTATTAAGACAACAAAAAGAGTGGTGTGGTAATAAGCCTCCTAATGAAGTCTACCGTACCTCTATGAAGTATTCTTGCCAAAATATCTAATCTCAAACTGCTTGAGCTTTTATGGCAATTTACTAATTAATAAGAAACAGACAAGAAACACATTAAATGGCACCATGGGAACATAATCAGTCCAACCTTAATTGGAAAATTCTGTAACACAGGCTGGGCACTGTAGCACATGCCTGTAATCCCAGCAACTCAGGAGGCTGAGGCAAGAGGATCATAGGTTCAAAACCAGCTTCAGCAAAAGCAAGGTGCTAAACAACTCAATTTAGAGATGCTGTCTCTAAATAAAATACAAAAAAGATCTGGAGAAGTGGCTCAATTAATGAGTGCCCCTGAGTTCAATCCCCTTCCTCCCAAAATTCTACAAAACACAACAAGTTTTGTCAACAAATAAAACTGTATTATCTTATTTTATTTTTGGTAGAAGGATCCAGATATAGTAAGTTTTCTAAATTTGTTAGTTCAGAATGAATTAGAAGAAATTTATATATACTTGAGGCAGGGGAGATTAGATAGTCCATCCTAAGGCTGCAATAGAATGCCACAACTTTTCCAGGGAACCCATATAGAGCATGGTCAACTGTGGAGGTGACTATGATTTCCATTCCAGGCAATGGCCACAAATCAAGTCCCTTGAGGCAATGCTTCTCAAACTTGGGACATGTTTGGTCATCTGGAAAGCCTGTTTCATACACAGACACTCAGACCCACTCTACCACAAGCTTCAAGACAAGGCCTTTGGTTTTATAAAAAGCTCCCCTGCTGATTCTGATGCACTGCACTAGGGTTTATACAAGAGGAACTATTACTGCATATGTAAATACTACTGAGTGTTTTTGTAATTTAAAAATTCTCATTGAGAACTTTCATTGTCTGTCATTTGCAAAAAACAAATTAAAGCACAATTATTTTTGACAGGTTCTACCACCATTATCTGAGAAGAAAGCAAGCTATTCATTAAATTTAGTCAACTGTTGGAAAACTACAGAGATCATCTTTACTAGTTCTTGGAACTCGGTATAAACCCTGGAACCAGCACAGAGAAGACTAGCCTATTGTTAAATCAACAGAAGTATATCTTCCACATTAACTTA